AAAAATAAATATTCAAAACAAAATATATATAGCAATCAAAAGTTTGAGGATCAAATTTGATATAATCAGCAAATATGATGTTTTTAAATTTTTCACAACTTCCGAAAAGTGTTTTCAGTCTAAATTTTTCAGGAAAACACTTTCTTGGAAACCAAGTTAATTTTTTTTTTGATTGGAAAGTGTTTTCCGTTGATCAACTTTTGTAATGACAAACAAACACATTAAAGTTTGGAAAGTGGTTTCTTGGAAACAAACATGACCTAGGAAAATATTACAAATCTTTATTAGTAATTTTTGGGTCTCATTTGAAGTCCTTCTTGACCTTAGATGACTATGAAATTTTAACCCAGGGCTTGTAGCCCTAGGAATCTACTAACAAAATTTCAGTCCAATCTAGTGGTTGAACAGAAATTTATGCTTCTTAACGTAAAGTTGCTCATTAGAGAAAAATCTCCTACATCATTCTCGCTGTCTTCTTTCTTGTTCCAGCCCTCTCCCTCCTTGATTGCTTCCTCTTCACAGTGGTGCCTACACTGTTGCAGCTCCTCTCTCTCAACACAGTTGGCAGTGTTCGATGTTCCATCAAGGATTCTTTGGGTCTTTTGATCACTCTCCTTCCCTGCTGCCTCTGCTTTTTTCCCATACTTGCGCTTCATATTTCTGCTTGCATCGGCCTTGCCATTGAACTAGTCCTTAAAACTCCTCCATATTATGATAATGTTCTGTACACCTGTCAAGGGTATTTTTAGATTTTTATTTTTTATTTTTCCTATATACAAAGAATTTATAAAATATGGACGTGTCGTGGTAGCATCTTGACAGCACATATCCTTTACTGGTCTCGTAGGTTAAGGGTCTTGAATGATGATAGATGGAATAGTAGAGGAAACGAACTAATTAAACCCCAATAGTAGAGAGACATTGGACACAATTAACCTAGAAGGAGAGAGTTTGGATAGTCTTCCCTTTTTTTCTTTCCTCATGCAGCTTTCCTAACTCTTCTAATCACTCGATAGGGTGCAGCTGGGCTGTATCCTTGAGATTCTATTCAACAGTTGAGACTGGATGAAAAATAAAACAAGCAAACAATGAAAACAGATTAATGTATCACCATAATAACCCCCTTGGCTCTTTGGGATTAATTTAGTTGAGACTGGATGAAAAATAAAACAAGCAAACAATGAAAACAGATTAATGTATCACCATAATAACCCCCTTGGCTCTTTGGGATTAATTTAGTTGAGACTGGATGAAAAATAAAACAAGCAAACAATGAAAACAGATTAATGTATCACCATAATAACCCCCTTGGCTCTTTGGGATTAATTTAGTTGAGACTGGATGAAAAATAAAACAAGCAAACAATGAAAACAGATTAATGTATCACCATAATAACCCCCTTGGCTCTTTGGGATTAATTTGCTTGGAGTTTGTGGTGTCATGTCTAATAAAAAGGATACATCATGTTCACCCTCGAGGTGCTAAGGCTGAAAATTGCTAATCAAACTTTGGTTTGTGGTTTGTATCTTCTAGTCAAGGAACTTTATTTGTTTTCCTGTAACAAATGAAAAACAGAAGTCTTTGTATAACAAAGATAGTTTTCCCCGCCTTTGGAGGACCTCCAATTGCGGTTTGCTGTTGTGTGGCATCATTCTCTCCTAACTCTGTAGCTGCCACGACTGTCTCCTTAAAAGCAGCACCCTTAAATCATTGATTTGAGTTTAAACTCTCTCTAACTTGTTTTTCAATGATGGAATTGAATTTGATTCCTAAACCATATTGAAATAGTTGTGAGTTTTGATTTTCTGTGTTCAGGAGTATATTTACCCTTTTAATGCTAAGTACATTTGCCGTGTGCTTTTGGTCTGATCTCAGTATGGAACCTATTGCTAATGCTGATTTCATTTACTGTTAGATATTGAATTATGTTTATTGTAATTCCAAACAGTAAAGATATTTAGCTAGAGCTTGCTTTGATTTCTGAGTTTATGATTGTTGCTTATCTTTGTGATTTAACAATCTCACCTCTGATCTATCTGCAGGATGCGTTCTGATTCATAACAGATCACGAGCATGTTCTGATAATTCTGATATTTGATCTCAAAGCTTGCACATTTGTGCACATAATTTGCCCCCAGTTGTCCTGTGATTGCTTATTTAGTTCGATGTGGTTGCAAGACATTCTGAAACGGGATCCAGATCACTTCCAGATGGAGAGATCGTCCCCAATTTGAAGATCTGAAGCAACATATAATCAGTCATCTTCCATAAAAGAGAAAATTAAAATAGTGAAGATCACGAGTTTAATTACTGTAATTGCCTGACTGGATGCCTGAATGCAGATTGCATTTTGAATGGTGATGGCAACTTGAATGTTTACTGCTATTGGCTCCTTGACTTGATTGTAATGTACAACAAAAACAGTAGTAACACTAGTTGGTAAAGTAATGCAGTAAAAGGTCACAGTGACTGTGTGTAACTGCTTTCTCGCATTTATTATTGAACATTTTGGTATTGATATTAAAAAGGTTTTTTTTTAAATTTTATTTGGAAATATATTAAAATAATATTTTATGTATTTTTTAAAATTTATTTTTAATATGAAGTTATTAAAATAAATTAGAAATATAAAAAAATTAATTCGAAGAAACAAAAATTCAAATTTTAGTAAAAGCGCAGCACAGCAACGTCGCCCAACGAAACAAGACAGCCTGGTGAAACAAGACAGTTCACAAGATCTTTGATTTGTCCATCGAAAAGTTTTCACCGGGGACCCAGCAACATCATTTCTTCTTTAATCTTATTTAAATTTTGGCAGTGTCGTATTTTAGTGATGATTGAATTTCGTAGAGGTATTCTCGTTGATTCATTTTCAAGTTTCTCCCTTTCGCAGAGACCAAAGAAATCTGCTTTGGTCAATTAGATCATCTATGGCAATTGTGTTTTGAGGGTAAGAAAAGAAAGCAACTTTCACATTCTTTCATATGTGGTGATGATGCAGCAACGTCCAAAGAGAGATAGCAAAAGGAGAAATTGGTGGAGGGTTGGTTCTTCGATGGAAGATATCTATCCAAAAAGATAATCCGAAGATTCTCCAGATTGATTCTGGGATGATAGCCCGCAGCATTGGTGCTGGTTCTGGTGGATTTTCAAGGTTAGATCCAGAACATTCCTCATTCATGATGTTGTTAATGACATTAGCTACCATTAAGAGGATTCATGCTCTTAAGGCTGTCCTTGCACTGACCATGTTTGTCAACCATCATATGGAGATATTGTTTAACTGTTTTTCCATCACAGCTACCTATTTATGTGATAGAATCTGTCATCTTATTGTGCTTAACAAATTGACGAGAACACTGGAAAATTATGAAGCACGCCAACATGCAGTGCAAAAGCTATTCTACAGTTTTTTACCAGTAGACACATTCTGAAGTTTGTTCTGAAATTGCAGGTCACTTTGTTTTTCTCTGTGGAAAATCGGTCTTTTCAAATGAAAACATCCATTTACCTAATATTTATATACTTCATTGTTTCTCTACGAGATTGCTATTTTTTCACATGAGAAATCCTTGGATGTAATCCATTTTCCTCATTTATACTCGTTTGAATATTCTTTATTCCTAACTTCCTGCTTGTTCCTCCTGAATGCTTAATGCGTACTGTGGCTATTGTCACGACCTGAATTTTACATCCATGATTGGCAGTGTAGGAGTGTTGTCAAAAAAAAATCATATCTATACTAAGCCTCAAAACAAATATATCAAAAGAATAATTTATTTAAAAATATATAGCATTTCATAATCTTTAGAAATATTATGTTATTCAAAACTGATGAACTCAAAAAATAATTCAAAACTCTTCATCAGTAATTAAAATAAAAACAATAATCCATAATACTCGTTACATTGTCAAAATCCAAACTTAATTAAAACAGGGTAATAGTGGAGCATTTAAGACATTAAATCAAAAGGAAAGGAAAGCCTCACAAAATAAGCGAGGAATACCGACCAAAACTAAAGAAACAGGAACACTCAACAAAATCTACCTGCTATCAGAAACTAAAAACTTGAAATAATATTAAGAATGAGGGGTGACTTCAACCAACTCAGTGAGGGAATAATATTTAATATACATTTTAGATATTTTAGATATTAATAATTTACAAGATGATTTATCTTGATATATATATATACATACTAATCATAATGTAGTGGAATACATGTTAGAGATCAGATAACACCCGAAAATGATCAGTCGCCACAAGCTAAAAAGGAATATCAGATGAAAAACTCGAAAAACCTATTAAGGATCATTAAGAGAACCTACAATAAATATATAAAATATACTCAAAAGCAACTCAAAATAACACAAATAAAATATTCCAATTCATACAAGAAAACTAGGTTTAGTCTCCTAGGTTTAGGGACTAAAACAACAATTATCCAAAACAGGGATCAAAACGTAATTTTACCAAAACTGGACCAAAATATAAATACATAACCATACTGAAATTCCACCCATAAAACATCCTCAATTCTATCTAGAATGACACAGGGACCAAACTGTAATGTTTTAAAAGTTTAGGAACAAAAATGTAAATTCCTAAAATTGAGGGACCAAACTGAAAATATTCCAAATCAATTATCAAACTGAGATTCATCATCTTTAACCTCATAATAACACTGCCCAGAATCTCAAAATACATTTAGGGATGGAATTATAATTTTTCCAAAGTTTAGGGACTAAACGGAAACTTTCACAACTTAAGGACCAAAATAAAATTTGATCATTCTCAACATCAAGACCATTCTGTCCAAATTCCCAGCAAGGTTAAAATGAATTTATTAACTTACAACATCAAGACCATTCTGTCCAGATTTTTCAGCAAGGTTAAAGTGAATTTCTTAACTCATAAAAATTAATTTAAATCCATCAACTCATAAATCTTTATTTTCAACAATATACTAATTAATCACCTAACATTAAGTCCTTAATAATCATAAATCAATTTTAATAACATGAACTTCTAATCCTTATAAACCCTAATATATTATTTAATTATTTTATAAACAAATTATAATCAAAAGTAATATGAAAGAGAATAATTTATTTATTATTTTTATCTTTTTTAAACCAAAAACTCAAGATCAAAAAACTAAATTTTTTGGTTTGAGAAGAGAAAAATCATAGTGGTTATAAGAATTAAAAAAAAAATTGCAATTTTTTTTATATATCTAGATTAAATTAGATTGAGTTTGAGTTTACTTGGATTTAAATTTGGTGCTTACAGCTGTAAGCCTGCGTCTTTTCTTTTAATCATTATACACAAGCATGTGCTAACGTATATACGAAGCTATGCATACTAAACTATTGCTGTAATGTCTGTGTTGTAGGCTGGTTTGCTTGAGAGTACACCCAACGCTTACTCTCTCGCACCCCACTGAAACTTTTGTCTCATTCACCTCCATTGATGGATCAAAGCGTGAAATCTGGCCCGAATCTGGGGATCAGTTTTATCGAGAGAATCTCCTGCCTAATGTTAAGTTCTATTTTATGGTGTTATATGAATTTTTTTATATAGTTTTTATAGCAGAAAGGTCAGAGTGTAAATGGAACCGAAAGGAATACGGAAAGGAAACAAACCATGAGGATGATCAAAGTTGACTCAAGTTTCTGCTGTTAATCGTGAGATTAACAATAGAGATGGGAAGCTCTAGGGTAACAATCCTTGATGTTTGCTGAAATCATTTTTCATATTTGCAAGATCACCGTGATCACAATGCTGAAATTTTAAGTTATTGCATGGATAAAGAAACAGTATAAAGTAGTCAGTGTAACTACATAAACTTCAGCACTGGTCCAGTCACTAGTCATTTCGTTTACTCTTACAAGAACTCTGGGTCAACTGAATACCATAGCTTATGAGAACGTGTATATAGTGCCATTTATTGACGCCTGTTAATTTTTGTGAATCTGGATGTCGCCTATTACGTTTATCTCTGGTGAATCAGTGCTGGTTGATAAATTTCAGGGTTTGGCTCTAGTCAATCGGTTTAACATTAATGAGGTTTGTAAATGTTGCATCCATCGGGAAACAGGGACAATAAATATGGAGCTGTGGTCTGAAGATAGGCCCGTTTCAAAGCAATCACCTTTCGTAGTCTACCATGGGTATGAGGTGATAGGAATCTCTTAATTGCTTGTATAATAGACTATGCAGAAATCTTCACTCAGCAGATTTTAAGTTGTAAAGTTTTAGCTAAATAATGCATCAAAACTTTATCTTATGAAAGAATGGTAAAAGGAATCTAGAAACTGCACTTGGTTCCTAACATAAATCAAGATTTCTTCAAAATAATCAAGTTATATTGTTGGCATCCCAGTTTGGGTGGAGCGGTCATGTTTGTAATTTTGATAGATTAGCCTAGTGGCTTGAGCACCCGACCCAAACCGGGCTTCAACCCGGAATGTTAGATAAAAATAGTACTCCTATTTTACTTCTGTGAATAAAGAAAGGGAGGTCTTTCAGAAAATGAGGCACAGGAGTTATGATCAAATATTCAACTGAAAATGCCTTTTGGAACTCTGATCTTGCTTTTGAATCATCATTTAATGTGATTGGTGAAAACACTTGAATTTTAAATTTTATACAAAGAAATCACACCGGTGCTAGCTGAAGCCACTAGCGATAGATTGTCTTTATTTACACAAGAAACTTCGCCTTTAATTTTTGCACATGCATTTGCACATCAAAGCGTTCGCGTGGAGCTAAAGGGATTATCAGTATGTGTGGTAGGACTTCGGAGCATGTTAAGCTAGGTGCTCAGATTCTTCCTTTTTCTTGGCCTTCTCTTCCTCGAGCAAATAAATTCTCTCTGCTTCAGGAATAGCCAAAATAATTGCATGTAGCCTGGTATTCATTTCCTCCACCTTTTCCATCAGCCTGTCATTAGTAAACATGCCGAGGCAGACGCTCTGGATGGTCTCCCAGCTTTCCATCAATGGTAAAGCAATAATCACTGCCGATCCAATGGTACCCCATGCTATAGCTAACACTGCCCAGAATGTGAAGTAGCCTAAACCAAACTCACCTGCAAAATAACCACGGTAAGTACAAACCAATATGACCACCCAAATAGAAAGACTGGTGAACAAAAACAATAGGCAGTTTCTTTCTTTCTAAGAATTCTGACCTTTTCTTGTTGAGACACGTTACAATATCAGAAATATCAAAGAGGATGAAATTACCTGCAGGAAGAGTGAGGAGAGGCCATAATATAACAATCACCACAGTAAAACCAACACCCCATTTAATAATCCAGGCTTTCGCTTTTATGAGTTTCTCCTCCTTGAACTCTTCTGCTGGCAACTCATTCTTTTCCTTTTCAACCATTGTGATCTGCTTGGTCGTATCCCAATCATAATCTTGCGGCCATACAAAGCTACAGACAGCATGGATTGCTCCACCAGTAAGTATTGACACAAGGTTGCCTGAAAGCATTGGTGCATTTCGCCCAGTTGTGTCAAGGTTTATCCGACCATACTCGACCTTCGTAACTACTAGCCAAGTTATAACCCCAAGAACACATCCGATGATTGTTCCAAGAATGGCACCTATTGCATTTGCTTTCCTCCATAGAAGCATAAAGGCTATAGGAAGGACAGCAGAACCGATAAGAATTCCCATGGCAAGATACATCCAGCCCAATGAAACTCCTGCTTTATTTAATATTACTGCTAACAATCCCATGAAACATCCGAAGCCTAGGACAACAGCCCTTGATACTTTGAGGATTTTTTTCCCACTTGCACCTGGATTTATGTAGGTACGGTATATATCGTATGTGCACAGTGAAGAAACTGCAATCAGCTCAGCTGACCCCGCAGATGTCACAGCCCTGTTCATTATATGCATACAACTGCTAAGATTGTCCCCATGAAGTATGGCTAGAAAGATGAAGTACAGAAAAGCTCAAGCTAAGAATAAAATCTGCTTACATAAAAAGCATTGTTAGAAGAAGTATGGATCCTCCTTTCCCCATCAAAGCTATAGCAGTAGCAGGAGGAACTAGTCCATGGCTTGCCTCGCTCTCTGTTATCGGTAGATCAAGGGCAAGCGCTCCTAGACCCAGAGATGTTGCTAAAGAGAATGGTACAGCAAACCACACCAGCCCACCCAACAAGTAGCCCTTGTGAGTTGATGAAGGCCTTGCAGCTATCGCACTAACCCAATATCCCTAAAACAGTATGAAAATCAGCATAGGTTAGGTCAAAAAACCTTGAAAGGTCTGAAAACCACTGTGAAGAAGATGCTGTTGCTAAATCATGAAGCTTACGTTGTCAACGAAAACTGTGCCGAAGTTGCCTACGATGTTTATAATTCCAAACACAAGCCCACCTGAACTCAACATTGTTAGGTAAGACCCTTTGTAATTTCCACTAACGGGACCACAGGATTGTCCATCATGGGAAAATGGCTCCTGGCATACTCTTGATCTGTTTCCGACCTCTAATAGACGGTGGTATATGACACTGGGACTACCTAGTTCGCTGCTTGCAGTGTAAACTAGGTACACAAAGATAACTAGAACCACATGCACTGAAATCCAAAGTAGTAAAAACAACAAAACCAAATCAAAATCATGAATCGAAATTCTCATATCAGGAAATTTTCAAGATTATGAATAGAAATACCTATAACAGAATGTATGTAACTTGCCAAGAAAGTTGCCTTGAGTCCTCCGGCGAGAGTGTAAACAATGACTCCAAGCGGTATCAGAAAGCTAGCAGCATAAATATTCACTCCGGTAAGTGCGTTTACAACAGCAGAACCACCAAGAAGTAGCATAGCCGTGACAATAATGTTTGTCAAAAAGCAAAAGGCAAGGAAAACTATATGTGCAGGAGTCCCCCAACTGAAGCAAAAGAATAGTAGATTATCAGTAAATTTTAGGGGTAACAAACGAGCTTATTAATATTTGTTCCAGCTACGGCGTCATACCGGGCTTTTACAATTTCACAAACAGTATGAGCATGAGGAGCCTTTCTTTTAATCTCTATAGCCATCACACCAAACAAAAGTACCTGTTCATTTGCTAACAGTATTAAATTCAGTTGCAGAATGTTCTTTTCTGGAAATTCGACAGTAAAAAAAACTAGGGAACATGCCTGGATAGTAGCCCCACTAGCATACCAAAAGGGCCCACTAATTCCATACTGCCAGGCAACATTGGAGCTTTGCAGGATGGTTGCAGCCCATGTCCACTGTATAAATTGGCAGCAAATTTAATGCACAAGTTCAATATCCATTCCATAAAGAACATTAAAAAAAAAAAAAGCAAGACGCAAATGTTACCTGGGACACAATCACGCAAGTTCAATATCCATTCCATAAAGAACATAACAAAAAAAGCAAGACGCAAATTTTACCTGGGACACAATCACACTGGCAATAAGTCCTGTTTTTACATTCCTGCCTGCGGTATTGAACCATTCTGAAGTGTGGCGAGACCCAACATATCGTTTCTCCAGCCATACCTGAACCACGCAAAATAGCTTGACAGTTGAAATTTCTAAGTTAAATGTATACAGCGTCGAAAATATGAGGGGAGGGGTTTGTATACCAGGAAAGAGGTGAAGACAGCAAAGAAGGCTCCAAAACCAAGAATAACAGCATAGCCAGCACCTTGATTGAGCACAGCTTTTCCTTCAAAGAAGCTGATCTGCCTCACACACCTTCCACCCTCTGATGAGTAATATTTGGCCGAGAATCCAAATGGCGGGCACTGCACCTGACTAGAAGCCATCGAGCAAGCAACAGCTAGCTAATGCTAATACAGTATCAGTACCTTCTCTTCTTCAATACACCATATGGCTTGCTTTCTTGATTGGGCTTGAGAGTGCGCTATATGTAAGCAAATAGTCAAGTGGTAGGCTTCGCAATCAGGTACATTTTCACACTAGAGTCAGCATCTATCTAAAAAAATTATTTATTTTAGATATAATTTTAAAATTATATGAAAAAACTTAAAAAAAAACACCACTGGCTATATGTAGGAGTCGACTCTTGCTGCCACAGACAAGGTCCGCGGATATACAGAGGCTTTTGCTCCTGCTGAAAGAACCAAACTCCAAAGCTACAATGTAAAATAGTATCTTATCTGGTTGTGACGAAGGAGAATCTTTTGGACAGCATTGTAAATTTGCACATATAACCCCTCATCATTCCATTGTCTTTTTTGTGTTTTAATTGAAGTTTTATGCTGGGCTGAGGAGATTTAAGTAATTTGATTATGATATATGACAGCAAAGACTTTGGAATCAGCCTCGCCTCCTACCATTGGCGGATTCTTCTGACTTTAATTCCGATGACCTAAGTTGTTCCAATAATTCAACATTCAGTTCTTAAAAATTGTGAATCGAATTTAGATGATTAAATAATTTTTTATGTTTGGAATTTTGTTTCGTGGGTATTAAGTATTACCCTGAATTATAAATAAAATTAAAACTATAAAAAAGATGTAAAACTAAATTAGATGAGAAACATTTTGATTTACCACAGTAATTTATCTTAAAATTAATATTATAAACAATATTCTAAAATTATTCATATTAACACAAACTTTATTTCTTTTTATGTGTTTTTTTCAATTCCAAAAACCCTTTGTAAAACTGTATCTTTGCATTATATGTTCCTTTGAGTTGAGGGGGAAATTTGTGTAGAAGAGAGATGTTTCTTTTCTCCGAGGTGGCTTAAGACATAATGTTTTTATTCCAGTGCTGATTTTGGTGTTAATTATGTCATTAGAAAAGTAATTAATGACAAAATTTTAGTAAACTGTGTAATCTCATTATATTGAAGATTTGTATGAAAGTAATAAAAAAAATATTTGAATTTTTAAGAACTATTTAATATTTTTATTAAATTTGATTAAGCGACTTAATATATTTAATTCCTTGTCTAGCCAATTTTAAAATTAAATTATATATTAATAGCTCCGATAAAACCTAATTAAATTTATTAGTCTAAAGAAATCCCGACATACTAATAAAAAATATTTAAAAAATATATATATAAAAATTAATATAAAAAACCTTTCGGATCAATTTTTTATATATCTCAAATTTAAAATTAAACTGCATAAAAAATCTTTTATAGGATCCAGTTCAAAGATGACATGACCATCCAATAAAAATATTGAAAGATGAAACTTGCATAAAAAATCCTCTTGATCTAACTCGATCTAACTTTTTATTGGCTCGTGTTTAAAATTAAAATATAAAAAAATTATCTTGATGTAATTCAGTCAATTTACTCAATTTAAAAGTAATTTAAATGACTGTAAAAAAAAACCTAAAAAAAAACTAGAAAAAAATATCAAATTTAAAATAAAAAAAAATAAAAAATAACTTTATTGTTCATATAAACTATACTCGAATCTTTTAGTATAGAGATAATTTATTAATTGTGCCCTCACTACTTGAATAAAAAAATAATATATAGATTCTTAAAATCTTATCAGCATTTTCATAAAATTCAATACTATTAGTAAATTGTTTGAGTATAAAAAAAAAAAATCAGCTTAGAGGCATTAAAATATTCTTTTAAGATGAAAAAAATAAAGTAAATATGTTTTTTGTATATTTTTTTTCTTTGTGTAGTAGTAGATTTATATAGAGTTAAAGTATTATAATGAAACATTATGAATATTAATGAAATAATATGACTATTAATTAAATAATTATATTTTAAAGTAAATTGAATAATTAATTTTCAGTTTTATTTTAATAGTCATAATTTTTATAATTAATTATAAAAATTAAAAGAACTAAACTCAAAAAAAAAATTAATCTCCTTGATATATTAAGCTCTAAGTTCCATCTTTCTAGTATTATAAATATATATATATATATATAATAGTATTAAAAAACTCACTGGTAAATTTCATCTTTTTTGGCTTCCACTTGATTTACTATACCATAAAAACTCACTTATAAATATTTAAAAGAGAGTATAATTTTTTTAATGTAAGATAGAAATCTTTTTATTTTTTATTCATTTACAAACTACATCAACAATCCCCCATAAATTTATAATCAATGTCTTTTTATTTGATAAAATTACTATTATAATAAGATATTTTGCAAGTTAAACCGTCAATTAGTATTAGAATTTGAATTATGCTATTATTGATGTTCACATATTAAACCAAAATTTTTATTATAAAATCAAAGATAACATACACTTGATACTATCTAAACTTTTAAAGAGATTTAAAATTGTTTAATATTTATTATAATTATGTGCTAAAATCTTGTTTTCATGAATATTAAAAAGCAAAAACCTTAACTCTTGTAAAAAACAACACTACTTCTATATTTATAAAGTTGAGGTATATATGTTTATATTATATTAAATATAAACTTTAAATTACATTTAGAGCTAATACTCATCTTTCTTTATGTAATAAAATGCACTAAATATTATTAAAATATGGTTTAAAATGAATTATTAATGCCCAACAAATGCTATATATTAACTTGTTATTATCTATTAAACTTAGATATATACTTTTTGCTAATCTAAAGTTGAGTTACCAATACCAGTATCTTTGATAAAATATTTCAACTCATTCGATTAGGTGTTTTCTTATAATATTCTTAGATAACTCTTTTGTGAGCATATCCATTAAAGTATTCACAAACTTTATGTGAACAATAATAATTACCTCATTTATAATTAATTCTTAAATATATTCATGTTGAATACTTGTATATCTTGATTTATTATTATAAATATGAGATATAGTTGCTTCAGAATCATAATATAAAGAAATAATTAATATAAGTTGTGCTTCTGCTTTGTTCAAGGAAAAAAAACATGAATAAAAGATTTCTAATTTTGATTAAAAAAATACAATTTCTTATTTTTAAAAAAGTAATAATTATACCACAAAAGAAATGCATTAATAAAAAAATAATTCTAACTAAAAACAATAATTTTTTCCTAATTTCAAATCCTTGCAAACATTTATTTTAATCGCTACATATATATATATATATATATATATATATATATAGCATGATTATTCACCTTACCAGTTCACCTTACTAGTTTAATGCCGTTTTCTATTTCACCTTACTAGTTTCTCCTGTGCCGCGCCACTTATTTTAATCGCTACATATATATATATAACATGATTATTCACCTTACCGCGCCACGCCCTATTCTGTTGTTATAGACACGGGGGGGGACTGGGAAGGTGAAACAGCCATGCCTTAAACATGTGATGCCTTAAATAAGTCTCTAAGGTCCTTTCCACCTTAATATCCAGACCAGTCCATCCTGCTTGTCGTGGCCCAATCCGAATGTGGTCCATACTGCCCCCCAGGATTGACCTTTGACTATAAAGTTTCAAGTGTAATGACGTGCCTCCCAAACAAATTTGTTAAATTTCAAGTCTTTTATAGGTGGGAAGGGACAATTTCAGCACAGAAATATCAAATATCCAGAAACTTCATGTTCAGGCATTTACATTGGATTATCATTATCGTTTTATTTATTTATTTATTTATTTTTGGGCTTGTTGCATTTACCTTTCAATCATTGACATTTTAACTTGTCATGTTTTTGCTAATTGATCACTTAAAAAATAAAAATAAAAATTTGAACCTCAATCATTGTGAAAAAGGATCAGAGCATAGAATTTTCTCCTTCTTTTTTGTCGTTGTTGGTTCTCCTTTCACATCCTTTCCTGTTTTAAATAAATAGTATCTGTTTAATATGATTTTTTAAATAATTTCTTAGAAATATATATAAATAATGTATTTTTAACATTAATATGAAAAAAAATTAAAACGCGCAGGAAATTTAACAGTTGTCCTCGTGGTTTCTAAGAAGCACATGCGAGAGTACCTATCCCATCTATCCCATCCAAGTAGGAACTCCGAGAAAATGGAGCGTGTCAAACCAGGCAACGCTTTTTATTTTCAGCCATCTTTCTCGCCTTTCCTCCTCATTTCCGATTTCTCATGAGATTGCAAACATGATATTGTAATCATAGACCTACACAGCTATATAAATACTTCTTGCAAGAACCAGCCTCCATCATACACAACAATAACACTAACAAAGCAAGATCACAATATTGTTTTTCACATTACTCTTCGTCTTTGATTATGAGTCAGAGCGCAGCAACAAAGGTTTCCAGGTTGCTTCTGGGGCAACTTGGCCCTCGTTTCTTGTCAACTACAACCAGTTTTTCTAGGCCTGCAACTTCAGGCATGAGCTCGACCAGATTTGCTTCTTATGGGGTCCGAGGTTGGAGTGCTTCAGCACCACCTGTTATGCCAAGTGAAGAGGAGAAACCAAAGGCAGCTGCCAATTCATTTACTACAGAAGATGGTAAGGCCATCGTGAGCTATTGGGGTGTGACTCCCCCCAAGATCGTCAAGGAGGATGGCACAGCTTGGAAGTGGAACTGCTTCAGGGTATGTGCATTTATATTAATCCACTGCTGCAATTGTCAAATCCGCGAACTTACTGAACTGAGTTTGCATGTCTACTTGAATAATTGAAGCATTTTCGTTTCCTGATTTGCAGCCATGGGAGTCCTACAAACCTGACATCTCAATTGATGTGACGAAGCACCATAAGCCTGGTACAACAATGGATAAATTTGCCTACTGGACCGTCCAGGTCCTCAAATACCCCACGTACTTGTTCTTCCAGGTAGCTATCCTACACAATCTTTTGCTGTGCCGAAGTTTATAAAACAGAATTCCCTGTGCTTGAGACATCAGAATCTAATAACTTACGAGCTAAATTTTCATCAATTGTGATAGAGACGGCATATGTGCCATGCCATGCTGCTAGAGACAGTAGCTGCTGTTCCAGGCATGGTTGGAGGGATGCTCTTGCATTGCAAATCACTACGACGATTCGAGCAAAGTGGTGGCTGGATAAAAGCTCTTTTAGAAGAAGCTGAGAACGAGCGGATGCATCTTATGACCTTCATTGAAATAGCTAAGCCCCAGTGGTACGAACGAGCCCTTGTATTTGCTGTCCAAGGTGTCTTCTTCAATGCTTATTTTCTGGCATATTTAGCCTCTCCGAAGCTTGCACACCGTATAGTAGGGTACTTGGAAGAGGAGGCAGTCAACTCCTACTCAGAGTTCCTCAAGGACTTGGACAACGGTAGTTTCGAGAACGTGCCTGCCCCTGCTATTGCCATTGACTACTGGCGCTTGCCTCCCAACTCCACGCTTCGTGATGTTGTGTTCGTTATAAGAGCTGATGAAGCACATCACCGAGACCTTAACCACTACGCATCGGTAAGAATTTACGCTTGCAGCCGTGAAAATTGCTGTCCCTGTAGGTGGCATTTGTGGTCGGATTTATCTGATTTTATTGAATTTTCTGAATTGCAGGACATTCAATGTCAAGGACAAGAGCTAAAGGATACGCCTGCTCCAATCGGATATCATTAATTCTTTAAGGCGATCCTGAATTTATGAAAGTGTGTGTGTAGCTTTGACATGCTCCCAAAGCCATCAGATTCATTCCATTGTACTACGTTATTCTTAAAAAAAAATTAGCTTTTTTGTATTCTTTGATACGAATGGCCTTGTTCTTATACTGCAGTAAAATCACCGAAGTGAATCTTTTAACATCACGAAGGCAACATAGAAACTTTCAATAATGCTATTGACTGCGCTGAAAAGAACCGATATCAGATATCATTATCTGCAAAACTAGTTCTCCGGGGAACGACAGCCACTGCCACAAAGTTTTGATTCTCTACAGTGATACATTATCATAAATATCATCACTTGGGATGGGAACTACGTGGAGGTGATGACAGATTTCATGTGCTATGTACAGTTTGTGGGGGCTATATATAATACCTAAGGCATATGTGGGGATTGCTCCGTCCATGACCAGAAAAAAGGGTTTGTGCCGTCGCCATGAAATTCCTGGTTCTCAGCAAGTAAAATTTAACACATTGTTGAGTTGCATTTGGCTCTGTAAAGCAATATTATATTGCTTTTAACGTGGCTTTGAGGAACCGCGGATGCTGCCCATTAGCATGCAAGACTAACCTCCTCCAAGAATCTCCTTCAGGTTGTCGTGTGATTAGAACCATGATTAAGAAGTTCTTTCTGAATTTGAAAGCCAAGCATTGACTTATCGCTATCAACACCATCTTTCCTAGCAGATAAATTAGCGGTTGCCTTTTCTTTCATGGCTTCCTTTTCCAATTTCTTCTTTTCAACATCAGCCTGTCTTTCATTCTCCTCTCGTGACTTTTTGAACAATTTAACAAAAACAACCAAGATCTGTGTCACTGCAAAATGCAAGCATGACAAAAGGAACATCAGTTAACACCACTGACATTATAAAACTAATTTCTATGAGATTGCAAAGACAGCTTCAAAATCCACAAAATGACAAATAAGAATTTCGGTTTTTGTTAGCTTGTTTGTTTTTTTATGATTCATTACAGAAGAATCAACAATGACACAATCAATCAGAACTTCCATGCCAGGGAAAAAAAATTCAGAATATGCCAAATCGTGTATACCTATTATTGCACAAATGCCAAAAACAACATCAAGTGAACTATACTGCATCATATGAAAAGAAGAAATAAACAAAAAGCATTGGTGATTAACCTTGTTCAAAGGGACAACGAGCCGGATCCTCTCCAAAGTACTGAGACAAGGAATCTGCATTTCTTCCCTGAAAGATAAAGAATGAAGAATTGAGGGATAAAACCAGTAACTGCATGTAATAACTACATAGTACGAACATCTAGAGTTTGTTGGGGCCTTACCACTTCAGAATATAATGAGATAAGTGACCTAACTTCAGATTCAGCAGTGTCAAGGAAATTCTTCAAGACCTGTAAAGGGGGAAAATGTTAGTTCAAGAGACATAAATGAATATATCAATACTAAGAAAATCATACTCAAGGTTATCTTTGTGAGCTTAAAAATGTAGCCAAGCATCTGTACTCATGCTCACCTTTTGAAAGCCAGTGGAGATGGCACCATCATTTACTGAAGTGGTGAGTTCTTGCTCAACCTTTTCAAGGCCTTTACTCACAGCTTGCATTTCTTCAGCCAGAGTTTTCAGTTGAATCTGGTAAACCAAAGCAGAAGGAAACAAGTGATAAGAGATCATATCGGCTTCAGTGACAATCAGCAAGTTACAAGTAATCAAGGAAGAAGCTAGCGCAAAGAATCTATTAAGGATACCTTAGAGGCAGCTTCTAAATGAACAAGGTCCTTATCAAAGTCTAGTAACTCCGGCATTTTCTCAGCTAGTAGCTAGAATCAAGACAACAGAACAATTAAGGCATCCCATTAGAAGAATTTTTGTGCAAAATTTACAAAAGTGGGACACATCTAAATTCATAAGAATAAATTAAACACAGCAAAAAGGTCAATCAGTTATAAAATATAGCATTAAACAATCAGAATAGCAATAGTCTAAGTGTATAATCTAAACCTATATATGAAGACATATTCATCAAACAAGTAGAACACTGGCAATCATATTTTCTGTTCTTTGTTAGTAGCAAGTTCTTCAAGGAAATGACAAAAAAAATGAGAATATCAAGCATTAAATGTTGTAACACTTACTCAGCTAAAACTATGATAATTTGAAGTTTATAGTTTAAGCTTATCTACCTTGCACAAGTAGTGCATTAATGTCATTTTATTGTTTCTTGCACGAGTATCTGATAATTTAAGAAGACTGTCCAATTTGAATCCTACAGCAGATCCTGCAATAAAGAAGAGTAGTATGAAATGAGAATCTATAATACAAGAAGAGGTACAAGGCCAGCAAATTTAAACAAAAGAAACTATAACTTTCACAAGCAGAGTGATACCTCGTGCAGTGCCCTGATTCAAAGCATTTCCCAGAGTGAGAATTGTTTGCATTATCTGACGCAATTTCGCAGATTCTTTTACCTGAAAGTATATTGTGCATTACATATGTAGAACAAACAAACATCCATCTTCGTACTTCATAACCAATTTATTTTTAAAGATACCTCTCTAGTAGCATCATTTATACTATTCAGATTTCGTCTTAAGTCATCCACCTGAGGAAAACATATGATGAATGCCAAGTTATCCCATGATGATAGCATTCTGAATCAAATATGAGTAATCCAGAAATATACCTGACTAGAAAAAGTAATTCTGAATGCAAATACTCGCAACTTAGCTTCAACTCGTGGAACCTTCATCAACTCCAGGAAAAACTGAGCAACAAAATCTTGTTAGCCATCTAGATACGAGAAGTGCATGCATTCAAGGTAACAGCATTGGAATTTACCTGTTCACACTTTCCAAGCATTTCCTTGTCACCTGTATAATTCTGCAAATATTAACAAGAGAATGTAAGTAACAGCAAATAAATGACACAACGCAAATAAGCATAACAAATTTGCATGACTCATACTGTCACCATAAATTTGGTTGGTGTATTTTTTAAATTATTTAATCTGCTAAGGCTTTGTTTTGTTGATTATATTACAATATTTAAAGGATTAATTTTGTTGTTAAGAAAACTTGGGTTTTGATTCATAAATGTTACCTACAATTAGCCATCATGCATCCCTATAACATATCTCACACCATCCATGCAGTTAATACTACTTCACACTTGCGTTTCACCATACCAAAGGAAAAACAAAATAAACTAGCATGTACTTTTCTCTCATATAAAAAAAGGCCAAAAGGCTCCCTTTAAACTGAAACGTCTTAAACATCGAAGCAGCAAGATCTCACATGAGACATTCATTGCAAGTGTGCTCCAGAAACTCGAGCCTAAAAAATCTATAACATAGTAAAAGAGACAATATTATTGAGACTTGCAAATATTTGGTGTGCTACCACAACACTTTTGTACTGAATTGTTATGACTTGCAAATATTTGCATACTGGAGTCATAATTTTGTGAAGACTAACAAATCATTGTAATTTGCACATCAAATGAATGATTGTACTGTTCATTTTTCTCATTCTTTTCTTTATAGTATTTTCTTTTTCTAATTTAGTTGCTCTATATTTAACTCCATGCTCTTTAAAAATATATTTTGGTTATATCAGAAAACAACATAATCAGCACATCTTTAATTATTTGAATTTCTTGTCGATATTCTCTTCTTTTTTTCAGAGTCACGAGTTAGATACAAGAATCAAATGTGACAAAGTAGCATGTATGAACATATGTGATATATTGTTAGCTGATAAAAGAATAGATTACCCTCAGCATTTCCATTTCTTCCTTGGTAGGACAAAATTTGATGAGGTTCTCAACCTGGTCAATGTCTAGAGCTGAGGAATCCAAAGCTAGAACTGCTTTCTGAACATACAGATGAAGATAAAAATTAGGAAAGCTAAATTCAGTCCAAGCCAACTGAATGATACAAGTTGTAAAGTAGCTGACAAGAAAGATGGACTTACAATCATGTCTGGCAAAGGAATTTTAATTTTTGTGAGCATTATTTCACAATTATAGGCTCTTCGCAAGTCTACCTACAGAAAGAAATTCAACCAAAAACTCGAGTCATGATAAAGATAACTCTTTGTACTTCTGAATTCAAAGAGAAGATATTTCTTGATCAAAGTGGGAAGAGTTAAAAGCACTTCCCTTTTACCAGTTGTGTTCAGCAGATGCCAAATTTAAAAATCAGTGAGAAAATGAGTATTTGAAACATCATTATATCCAATTGTTGCACAACAGTAGACTAGCTCATTTTCAATTTTCATATGATCAATCCCACTACAGGCATGGTACAGGTAAATCAAACGTCAAATTTCAATTGTCATAAGTGCCAATAAGTAAAATGTCTATGATTTACATGAAAAGATCTCACTTTGTTATTTTGACAATGATCACAGTAAAAATAGCTGCAGAAGAAAAAAATGACTCTACACACATGCGCATGCACAAAAAGAAGAAGATTTCTAGGTGGTTGTGACTATATCACTGGCTTTGAAGCATCAGCTCACTAATTTGAAGGATTTAAAGCCACTTCTTTTATGTGACAATGTGTAAACCAGCTCAATATCAAATTTAAAACTTGTAATTACAATACTCTAGTTTGCAAACTATGGTGCAAAAGGAGCAAAGATGGTTAAGAAAGTCAGTTATTGGAAGTTGTATTGTGAGATCACTCAATTTCAAGCATTAAAGTCCTTGAGATTCTTCAAGCGGCTCCAGAGCTCCATACTTTATTGTTATTTTCTTTATCACTTACTTGTTTCTAGTGTTGTTGCTTCTTACTTTCACATACTTGACAATATTGATTTTGGTGTTCATCATACTGAGAAAATTGGGAGTTCGTAGCGCACCAATCAACCAATTTATGCTAGATTCATTTTATGATTTAATTCAAGCACCAAAACCTTGAGTTCAATCTGAGGGAAAATCTAGTAATCAACAAGAATTATGGCTTGCCCATAATACGCAGCAATATGGGGAACTTTGAATTGTTACTTCTAAACTCTATGAAAGCATCAATTCTGCTCCCTTGTAATGGACATTTTTTCAAGCTAATTTTCGAACTTCATCCATAGAAGTAGAGTTCGGATTCCCAATCCTGCCTACTAGGCATTATAAACTAGGTTCCTTAGATCAGCCTTAATCTCCTATTATACAGCTTTCAGGTTTGACATGAAATTTATTAACTGTTAGTTCTCCAGGTTAAACTTCTGATATTATTCAAATTAAAAGCTTAGCCCTTATTTTGAAAAGAAAAATTAACGCTTTTGCTTCAAAAAGTAGACTTATTGTTTAAAGTAGCAAGTTATCTCATTGATTCTCTCTTCTTGAAAATATATTACTGAAACAGAGAATTTGGACTAATACAATGAAATAAGTGTGCACCCACTTAAACAAATAAAACACCTTACCAATTGCACTTTCTCAGGCTTGTTCATGTGAGAACCACGTCGACCTCCAGCTTTAATACTGCCTTTCCCATCTGAAACAGAGGCTGCTGAGAACAAACTTTCAAGCTCTGATATATCAATCTCAGGAGCCCTGCTATCAACATTCATCGGGTGAGATCACTAATGCAAGCAAGGTACATGCTACAACATATGGAAAGGGGGAAACATAAAATGGGTGGTTGAACTATTGGAGAGTTTCTGAATTCATTCTGTGAGTTCCAAGTAAAATTTGTGTACATTTGTCAAAGTTATTCAGCATAAAGGATATATGTGCATCTAAATGAGCTATCAAGCAGGCAATGTAATGTTGATCTTTAACCATATGCACAAACCTTGATTGGTTTTCCTGTTTTTGAGAGTCAGCCCACAAACTCCCTTGCATTGCTCGAGTAACTTTCACCCAATGCAAGGGCTTTAGAGAAGCTCTCTTGGGGGCATTACCAGACCCACCAGCACTTCGACCTCTTACATGGCTACTTGCCCCTAAAGAAGCTTTTCCTCTTCCTGCAGATGGAGGTGGAGGTGGTGGCACGTTAGAGCCCTTTGCTCCAGGAGGTGGAGGTGGAGGTGGACCTGGTACTGAGGCACGACCAGGTGGTGGAGGGGGAGCTGCAGGAGGCTTGGGTGGCGGAGGCGGTGCTGTGGAAGTGAGACGTGTAGGTCCAGATGGAGGAGGAGGTGGCCTTGGGGCATTAGTAGGATTGCGACCAGGAGGAGGAGGAGGAGGAGGTGGTGGCCTTGGGACATTAGCAGGGTTGCAACCAAAAGAAGGCAGAGGCGGAGGTGGAGGAGGTGGTGCCCCAACAATACAACTAGCGGTAGATTTTGAACTTGAAGACAGTGTCGTAGGAGGAGGAGGGGGTGGCGGCGGCGGCGGCTGTTGTGGTGATGTTTTAATATTATTAGTTGTACTCATTGAGAATGGTGGCAATGGTGGTGGTGGTGGAGGCACTGGAAGCCGCTGTGGCACAGAGGATTGTCTATTTTTAGAAGAAATAGGAGGAGGTGGTGGGCCTTTAGAAGAACTCAAGAGGGGAGGTGGAGGGGGTGGTGGTGGTGGGCCTCTGCCGGTGGGAGGAGGTGGTGTAACAGAATCTTTACTGAAGTTAGGAAGAGGAGGAGGAGGTGGTGGTGGTGGGCCTCTGCAGGTGGGAGGAGGTGGTGCACCAGAATCTTTACTGAAGTTAGGAGGAGGAGGAGGAGGTGGTGGTGGTGGTAGCAGACATGTATTATGAGAGGCAGGTGGTAAAGAAGCATCTTTATTGAAGAAGTTGGGAGGGGGAGGTGGACAAGGAGGTGGTGGAATGTCTCTTTTACTAGTGGGAACTGAAGTTGTTGATAAATCTCCACTAGAGACATTGGGAAGAGGAGGTGGTGGTGGAGGCGGGGGTGGAGATTTACTATTGGTAGTAGCAGTAGAGGGACGTTGAGGAGGTGATGGTGGCAGAGGGGGGGGAGGAGGGTATGGGTCTAGTGGAGCTGGTGGTGGAGGTGGTGGTGGTGTGCGAGCAACAGGGGGTGGTGGAGGGGGTTGAGGGGGGCATGGAGAAGTCAGAGTTTCTACACCTGCAACTGATAGTTGTTGATGAAGAGAAAATGGTACACCCTTGACTGAAACTTGAGGTGGAGGGTCTGTAGTTAGATCCAAATCCTGTGGATCATTACTTTCAGAAGATAAGGGAACTGACTCAACAGTATTTGACATCAATGGTTTCATTCCTTCAGCTGTAGACTTGGAAACATAATCAAATGCTTCATCCGAACTATCAGCAGTGCTAGATGCATTATTTTCATCTTCAGAATCAACAGGTGATGCATATGAACTCGCTTGACTTTGCATTCTTGAAAATTCTCTGGCATCACTAATGACTGATAGCTGTTTAAGCAACCACAATGCAGCATCGTCACTGCTATCAACCCACTCAACGCCACTAAATAGCTCTTGAACTCTTGAAAAGGCTTCAATTGGCAATCCACCTTTTTCCTCACCATTTAAAATTGTAGTTGGGGCTTTCGGAGAGGAGATGCTCTCAACCTCCCCAAACAGAACCTGAACTTTGACATGTAATTTAATCAAATGGAATGCAAAATTGAGAAAGAAAAGAAACGGTTCATTTGATAATTAATTCACCTCTGCACGGAAGCCTTTTGGATACCGCTCTTTTGAATCCCAAAGAATGTCCAAATTGTCAGAATTGAGTATCAATATATTGGATCGAATAAAAGCGGTATTAAACATTACACGAAACATCATAACTTCCCTTTCAGAATCCAAGTCCAAATGCAGACACTCCAAGACAACATCTCCTTGCACCAAACATTGAATGTCAATCTTTATCACGTCACAGTCCGCCTGCAAAGAAAGAACAGTCAATTTCACATTGCCTTGGGAAAGAGAAATTGAGTATAAAGTAATATGAAATGGCATAGAACAGCAAGCCCCTCACCTGGCAGTAGTGCCGAAGGGCAGACTTCTTCTTCTTAGACATAGAGAAGAGCATCTGCGTAGAAAGTCCACCCTTTGTGTGTAAGTTCCTACCAAAAATACGAATGATTGGCCTACACCCATTTCCAGCATCAAAACTGGGAATGGCACGAAAAATGACACAATCCAAAGAAAGCGCCCGTTCAGGAGGTGGCCACTCAGGTGCTATATTTCTCCTAGCCACATACTGAAGATAACGAAGTTGAGATGGAAAAGGATTGAGCGGCGACAAGAGCTGCAAGAACCCTTTAGGAGCCTCTTTATGAACAATCTCAAGAGTCCTCTTCTCACCACTATGCAACTTCCTAAAAATCAAGAAACTGGCCAGAAGAAATGCCAACAATGGCCAACTCCCTCTCTCACAGTGAAAAAGGATAACATTCTGATGATTCCCTTTCGTAAGCCAACTCTCACAAACACGAAGAAAATGCTGAATCAAAGACAATGGCAGCAATGGACAACCCTCATACTGCCGCGGATAATCCATTACAGTAACATCATACTGACATAAAATTTCTGCAAGCTGACTCCGTTTCTCGCCTTCCCGAAAATTAAAGGCCAGAAAAGAAGAGTCCGGAAATTCCTCATATAATTCAGTTATTATTTCGTGCAGGTAAATTTGGTACATTCCATCCGGTAATACATCAGTGGAAAAACAAGAATCAAACACTGCAAAACACACATAATCAACAAAAACACATAGAATTAACACACAGAGCGCTACATGTTGTGAAAATTAAATAAATCGAAAATTAATTACCGTAAACTCTATCAACAAATTCGAGTAAGCCATCAGGAGGTCTCCGGTAAAAGAATCTACTGAGGAGGGACATTTCTGTCAAAATAAATTTACATGTGTTTGTTTGTTGTAACCTGAGGAAGGATAGCAAAAAACTTAGAAATTTTTTTGATTAAGCTACAAGGAAAAATAAATTAATTGAAATGAAGAGATAAATTTGAAATTTGAACAATTCTAGGCTTGGTTAAACTTTCTAAGCTGCCAAACAGAAAGAGAAGTGAAGTGAGAAAGAAAAACGCCTGAAGGAGAGGCAAACTGCGTGTTTTCTTTCAGATTTGAGAGCGGTGGTAGTAGTGCTGCTTTACCTTTTTCAGTTTTTTGAATTTTCAATTTGGGAACGGGAAGGCAAGGAGGCAGGAGTGGAGACAGTTTTTTCTCCTATCTCGTCTGCTGGTTTTTTGAAAATTAAATAATTATGGAACCCAGATACGTGTTCTGGCCCATTTGGTGGTAAGAAGCCCATTGCAAGGTGGCCTTTATTTGGAAAGACGATAAAAGGCCCCAGCTTGAGGATCGATGTGGTTGATTTTGAAAGAGCCTCTCAGAGGTTATTTATGTCTTTTACTTGTCAAGTAATAATTGAGTACTTCCTATTCCCAGCCACAACAATCGTTCCCGAGATTTTGTGATGCTGATTATTTTGTAAAACTATATTTTTTTTATATTTTTTTATATTATTATATTAAAATTACTAAAAATTATTTTTTAATACAAATATCAATTAAACTTTTGGGGGTTTCAGAAGTATTGTAAAATGTTTTTCATATAAAAATATATTTAAATAATATTTTTTATTTAAAAAAATTATATTTAAGATAAATACAATTTTTTATTTTAAAAAAATTATATTTAAGATCAATACATTAAAATAATAGAAAAATATTAAAAAATAAATTTAAAATAGAATAGATTTTAATTTTAAAAAATATTTTTAAAATCTAAAAATAAATATACAAAAAAAATAAAAAAAAAATTAAAATAAAGAAAATTTTAATTTAAAAAAATATTTTGAAAATTTAAAAATAAATATTCTTTTAGTTAGTGATAGGTTGGCATTGAATATCAAACAACAATTAAATTTTTTTAAAAAAAATTAGAGATCCCTATGAACAGAATTTTTGCTTGAAGCATTTGACAGCGGACGGAAGCTGATGGCATTACAAAATGAGACTGGTAAGAACTGCTATGGACACGAGGTGGGGAGCCAGGCCAAGCTCACCAAGAGACGTTCCTTCGACTCCATGAGAAACAACTTAAAAGAAATCCAGAGAAACTTAGAAATATGGTTGGCCAGAATTATTGGAGATCTTAATGGAATTCTGACCAGAGATGATGCCTCTTGTCAACGTGAATATTATATTTCTAGTATCCTTCTGTTCAATAGAATTTTCTGACTGGTAGTCTCCAGTACTGATCTAACTGAAATACACAAGCCCTTCTGGTAAAAATCCTGATCCAATGCTTGAAAATAGCAGCCAGGGCACCATGGAAATATGATCGTTCCACTATGTTTGCGGCAGCATCCCTATCAAAATGAAGCCATCACCTAGTCATAACAAAATGCTGGTCTTGGGCAAGTAAGGTTCTAGCCCAGCGGTGGGAGGGGTTTGTCCCCTTCCTCCGCACCTGGATTCGAGTCTTATTGTGCACATCTGTCATCTTCGCGGTGCCTTACCTGCTCACTGGGCTTATAGGATGTTCAGTGGACCGTGGGGATTAGTTATGGTGCGCACCTGAGTTCGAGTCTTATTGTGCACGTCTGTCATCTTCGCGGTGCCTTACCTACTCACTGGGCTTATAGAATGTTCAGTGGACCGTGGGGATTAGTTATGGTGCGCACCTGAGTTCGAGTTTTATTGTGCACGTCTGTCATCTTCGCGGTGCCTTACCTGCTCACTGGGCTTGCAGGATGTTCAGTGGACCGTGAGGATTAGTAATGGTGCGCGTAAGCTGGCCCAGACACCCCACATAAATCAAAAAAAAAATATTGGTCTTGGTATTCTGGTATTAAGTCATTGTCCCCTTCCTCCGCACCTGGATTCGAGTCTTATTGTGCACATCTGTCATCTTCGCGGTGCCTTACCTGCTCACTGGGCTTATAGGATGTTCAGTGGACCGTGGGGATTAGTTATGGTGCGCACCTGAGTTCGAGTCTTATTGTGCACGTCTGTCATCTTCGCGGTGCCTTACCTGCTCACTGGGCTTGCAGGATGTTCAGTGGACCGGGAGGATTAGTAATGGGGCGCGTAAGCTGGCCCAGACACCCCACATAAATCAAAAAAAAAATATTGGTCTTGGTATTCTGGTATTAAGTCAAGCCTTTGCAAATAGGTTTCTGTGTTTTCTGTCCATAGCTTGAAGTGATCGAGACTGTTTCCTACAGATATAGTTAATTTTTATAGGGCACGCCATTATAAAAAATACATGGAAAATGGGTTTCGTGAGATGTTATTTATGTTGAGACCAAATTACATTCATCACTTGAAAATCAACAGTTTTGCTCAGGTTACAGTAGCTCCAACCTGCAAACTGCAATTTGCTTGAACTTGTTTCCTGAAGGCAGGAGTGAAGAAATATTTCCACCCAAGTTCGAAGATCACTTTTTTATTCTCTCATTTTTCTCTCCTTTCTGGAGTCATTGCTGGAATTAAAAACCGGTTCCATTAAAAATTGTGAATCACCGTATCAGTGCAATCAGTCTGTCATTGGTATCTCAAGGGAGTCCAGAAAGGATCAGATAATGATAAGACATTAACTAAAAATCATCCCAACAAAGTTCCAAACCAGTTTTAATGGAAGCACACGCTAACAAAACTAACTCGAGGGGCAGAATTCAGAGAAAGGTTTCAATACAACAAATTATTAACTTGTGTTTCAACTATTTCAAACACAAGGAAACATGAACATAAATAAATGTTCACTACACTAGGCAGAAGCAGCAGCTTCTTCCAGCAACTGCTTAACCTTGGTGATATAGTCACTCATTGCTTCCTCCATGGATTTCCCTGAGAAAAAAAAAAAAGGAAACAGTTGTATCAAAGAAAATAAACCAATATCCTACAACCATGAATTTCAAACCAGTACCTTCAACAGCCTTCCATGCATCCCACTTTGCCCTGTCCCTCATGTTGAAAATTCCAGGGCGGCCTGCAGATTGTCATAAACAGTACGAGTCAATAAAAAGACAGTCGGAAGAGAAAAATGTTGACTTCAATAAAGCTATACTTTTGATCAAGAAATTAATCAGGGGAAAGCCATCTGATCATCGGAGCAAAGAACTCACTGGTGTTCACTGGTCCAACGGTGGCTTGCTTGTAGAGCCCATAGAGAATAAGTTTGTTCTCATTTGTTGTATTTTCTGGCAGTGTCTTGGCTTTCTCAGCGTGCTCCTCAAATTCCTCCTGCAAAGGCCAGCCCAATTTGTGACGTCAATAAACAACTTAAACGTCAAGCGTGCCAAGTAACTTAAGCCGAATAGCTGAGGCAAAGTGTTTTGTATTTCACGTCTATTTCCAAATAAATTGCATAAATCTCGTGTCTTGGAAAACTAGAGAAGGAAATGCATCATATAAAGAGAGAATTGATTGCCTAAATAGATGTCGATCCATGACTAGACAGTGAATCTAAGCATAAGCCAGATAGACTGCAAAATATTACTAGCCATCAACTGCCCTGATCTCAGATTTGACTCAAAAAGAAAAAGTTGACAAATAGATGCCCTGACCTAGCTGTGAACCAGAGTATCATGACCACAGAAGCCATTACAGCAGCATGCAAAACCACAACATTGCAAATTTGATATATCCAAACATAGATCTTCAACAATACTAAATAATAACCAATCAAGAAGAAGAAACACATCTGAAAACCAAAGAATCTAGATTCGAATTAAAACAGAGCAACCAAGAGTTTTTCATGCACTTACACTGGGATACACTAATAACCATGAAAATTAACACTGCCCCTTCATATAAAAATCCAAGAGGACCAGACATGAACTAATTCTAATGCATAATCCAAACTGATAAAAGCAATCAAACCATCAAATCCCATGTCAGATCTAATCAATAGAGGTTGATTGTCAATAACCATTCAAAACAAGAGGTTAATTTACATGAAGAATGAATTACATAGGATTGCTTTACCTGCAAACCCATTGCGTTACTTGAATGGAATCCGTCTGCTTCTTGATTTTCCTTTTTGGATTGAACGAAGAGGAGGAGGACGCATGTTATATAGTGTAGAAGTGGTTTCAAAGTTCACCACTTCGTTGATTGAGGAGCATATTCATTAGACGTTCGTACGGTTTCTACACGTGGCTTGTTTGGGTTGGTTAACGTAAATGTAGTAGGCCAGTGGCGTTACAACCAAAGATTTGGTGAAGATAGGTTGTAATAGGTTGCTATTTTATTTTGCAGCTGGCATCACAAAAATATATTAAAAATATATTTTTTTATTTTAAAAAAATTATAATAATTTAAAAATAAAAAATAATTTTTAAAAAAAGATTGTTTGACACGCAATTTTAAAGTCCCCATATATTCTTTCTTTTTAAGAAGATTATTGAATTTCTGTTGCTACGATAATTTATAATTTGTTCATGACTTGAGGTGGATGATTTGCGTTTTTTATTTGGAAAAAAAATTAATGGTACAATAAAAATAAAAAAGAAAATAAATCTAGTTGTTGTAACTGTTCTCAACGGCCAGGAAATATTTTTCATAACCGTGCATTTTGTTTCTCTGGAATTACAAATTTCCATCAAAAGAATTAAAATCAACTCACAAGTTTTATGAAGATCCCATGGACACAAAGGAAACAAAGACAATTCTAAAGTTAGAAAAAAAAATGAATTGGCACAAATGTAAAGTAAAAGAGATAAAAAGAAAAATAAAAATGACATAAAAAATGAATATTGAAGATATACTAGCTTTTGTTGAAAGTAATTTCCTCTTGAAAAGTTATTTTATTAAAAAATAATTTTTTGAAAAATAAATTATTATTATTTTTTATTTTTTATAATATCATAATAAATAAGTTAAGAAATATTTTTCAATATTTGACTATGTTATGAAAAATAAGTTGAAAAATAAATTTATTAATATTTTTTATAAATTAATTAAAATAATAAAAAACAAATCTTGCAAATTAAAAAGTTGAACAAAAATAAAATTGAAAAAAAAATCTAATTTAATAAATTATCTCAAATAAAATAAATAATAATCAAAATAATAGAGATCAATCTAACAGATAAAAAAAGTTGAATTATGATAAAATTAAAAAAATATAATTTTATAAATTATTTTAAATAAAATAAATAACAATAAATAAAATTTGATAAATAAAAATTTTCATTTAAAAAAAATGGTAAGAAAAAAGTGAGTAACAATCATAAAAATAAAGATCAAAACTGATATAAAAAAATAAATTAAAACAAATTATAAAAGATAAAATTTTAAAAAAAATAAAAACAAAATATATAGCAATCAAGAGTTTAAACTAAATTTAATATAATTAGCAAATAGTATGATATTTTTAAATTTTTTTATAATTTTTATAAAGTGTTTTTCATTTAAAACAAAAAAAAATACTTTTCTAAAAATCAAGTTAATTTTTCATTTGACTAGGAAGTATTTTTCATTGACCAATTTTTCTAACAATAAACAAATAAAAAAAAAATTTAAAAATTATTTTTTATTAAACAGACTTTGATTATAATAGTTTCAGCATTATAAAAAAAATCTTAATAAAATAAATATATAAATAATAAATACCTTAAAATGCTATTAATTAAAGCTAGAAGGTCACACATGCCAACTAAAGATGGTGAGTAACATATTTGCTGCCCATTTAGCCCAAACAAGTAACATTCTAGTCATCTGAGCCATGCCCGAATGTTTGGAAACCTGGTATTCTAGGCTTTAACTTGATCCTGACCTGCCTTGATTTATCCAATTTTATCATGGCACACATCTCTAGTCATGCACGTAAACTTTTTATTCACACAATTTTTTTAATACACAATACTTCTTCAAAGCATTCCATGCATTATTTTTCTAGCAAAGTGTTATTTTCTGTATCAACTCAAAAAATAAAAAATATTTTGATCATGTTTATTTTTAGAAATTATTTTTAAAAAAGTATTTACTATTTAAAAAGTTGGTTAATAAAAAATATTTTTTAGTTAAAAAAAAAATTAGTTTGATTTTCAGGAAAGTGTTTTCTTGAAAAATTTAGGTGAAAAACATTTTCTAGAAGTTATGAAAAATTTAGAAATATCATATTATTCACTCATTATATCAAATTTGGTCCTTAAACTTTTGATTGCTATATATATTTTATTTTAAATATTTATTATTCAATTTCATCTCTTAAAATTTATTTTTCATATTAACTTTAGTCCTTATTTTTATAATTGTTATTTGTTTTTTTCTTATTATTTTTTCATTGAAATTTTTTATCTATCAAATTTGATCCTCATTCTTTTAATTGTTACTTATTTTATTTGAAATAATTTATGAAATGTTAATATTACTATTTTAATTTATTCATCTTTTATTTTTTTTATTTTTAGATTTGATCTCTATTATTTTAATTATTATTTTATTTGATATAATTTATGAAATTATATTTTTTTCAATTTCATTCTCATTCAACCTTTTAACTTGTAAGATTTATTTCTTATTATTTTAATAAACTTAAAAAAATAAATTATTAATAAATTATTTTTTAATTCATTTTTCATGACATAACCAAATACGAAAAATTATTTATCATCTTAGTTTTCATTACACTATCAAACATCAAAAAATAATTAACTTTTAAAAAAATTACTTTCTAATAAATAAATGGATCTTCATGTCATTAATTAATGACATGTATAGCACAGTTATCCTTGATTTTTTAAGAAAATATTGCTACCAATAACAAGCATAGCTCAACATTTAATGATTTGATTTTCTTGAAAAATATTTTTTTCCTTAAAATAATTTTAAGAATTAAGTTTATAAACACCTAAATCACGTGTACTAGCACGCAGGTCTTGGACTCTGTTCTCAGACTCCATGCATTGACCTAGATTTCCCATTACTCCCAGTAGCCTCGTTTTATTTTTTCTTCTTTATATTGTTTATCTTTTTATATTTATTTACTTAAGTATTGAAATGTCTTCTATACCCATAATTAAAAAAAAAATTGTTTTTTGGTAACAAATCGGGCAACAATAAAAATCTATGTTCAAAACCAGTTATCAACCAAAAACACAGTCAAATCTAGTTTGAAACCTTTTCGTGATCTAATCAGATCTTTAACAACGAAGATGTAGAAAACAGCTCGGATTATGAGTTGTAAGAAAAACTAGTTTTTTGTTTTATTTTTTTTAATTGTAGACTAATCCTTTATTTGCATACATCTCTCTTGTCGTATCTTTCAACTGAATATGAAGGGTTTCTCCGTCTCTTCCTCTACAGTTATAATCCAGTTTTGTTTCTTTGTACAGTGACAGTGGCAGTGGCAGTGGCAGTGGCAGTGAGGGGGAGGGAGAGGGAGAGGATGACTGAAACAGAGCATATATGCACGCAAACTTAGGAGAATGCAGAGTCCGAGAAGGGAAGGCTGAAAGTGATCACAGCGGCAATGTTATCACTGCGACGAGTCCACCATGTTCTTCCCGGAATGCTGCAGTCATATTTTCACCGCACGGCCATGAAGCAGGGAGGATGACATGCTATTAATTAAGATTGAGGAGGGAGGGGGGGTATTTTCTGCTTGATCGTGGGTGTTTAAACCTCATGATGGATATAAAAAACTAAAATTCTCATAAATTAACTAATTTTAACATGGATATGTCTACTACCTTTGACCAAGACATAGATGTGTATGTGATCTCTGTTCATACCGTAGGCAGGCGTTGATAACATTTTCAAATTAACTCCTTTTATCTGAATTAAAAATTAATAACCTTTGCAATAATGATCGTGAAAATGCCATGAAACGACCTGATCAATTTCGTTGCATTTCTCCTTGTCACTTTATTTAAATTTTATAGAAAAAGACTTGTCTTGATTATAAAAATCAGCCCCGCATAAGAATATATTATTTTAAAATTACAACAACAATAATTATTTTTATTTTTATATTAATCTAAGTACACATTTTCCTAGCATATAATACAGGCATCATCCTCTAGTAAAATTTTAAAATTACAATAATAATTATTTTTGTTATTATATTAATTTAGATCTAATTTTTTTAATCAATGAAAATATATTGTTTTATTTTAACTATTAAGTTGTATTTTAAAATTATAATAATAATAATAATTTTTATTTTTATATTAATTTGGTTTAAATTAAATTAATTATCTTGTCTCGTGATTTAGGTTTTATTATATATTAATTGTTGAATTAAATTTTAAAATCACAATAATTATTATTTTTAGTGTAAGCGGGCGTTCATATTTGACAACAATGGCAGGACAAGAATACTAGATTTTGCTTCATTACATGTAAAGTACACCTTTGCACATGGAACAATTCCCTCCTTGAAAGAATCTCATCACTTGGCACCCAATTCCTTCTTCCGAACAAGTGTGGCACCGGATTCCATTACAATATCTGTTTCTTCTTTTGACGTTGATTCTGCCATGCCTTTTTATGTTTTTTTTTTATTTTTTTCCGTCTTTTTAATCTTTTGTTTACCGAAGCTGCTAAAAATTTGTTGATCCGTCGTTCTCTGTCTTTTTACTTTTTAGTCCTTGCTGCTCTGCAACAATCACGTGCAGCTTCCCCCTTCTTCTTTTTTTAATTGTTGTCTGGTGGAATCGTTTCAGGTTCAACTGTTGAATTGAGATTTAAAACAAAATAAAAAATCTGTAGTTCTGATTTTAAAAGTATTTAAAATAATAAAATCTGAAGAAAGATATATAACTCGAATCAAGAATATTAAAGCTTTAGCCGTTCCATTAGAAAAAAAATATTTTTTTAAAAAATAAATCGTGTGCATCAAATTAATTGATAGAATGATAATTTTTTGTGTTTAATAATATAATTGAAAGTATATATTTTAAAAATAATATTTATATAAAAAAATATCAAATTCATGTTTTTAATTTTTTTAATCATTGATAAATCTATATCTAGCAGGCTTAAAAATTAGCCTCAACTCAAAGAAAGTGCTTAATTTCATCGGTATAATTATTTTTTAGATTTTATTTTTTATATATTTTTAAATATATAAAAATTTTATATAAGATATTAATATTACATAAAAAATAATATAAAAAATTATTTAAAACTCAGTCATATTTTTATTGACACTAAATACATATATCATGTATATTTTTTTTAATTATGCTTGTTAAAAATATTTTTTATTGATATTAATATATGTGTCAATAATATTTTTTTTATTTAATATTATTAAAATTTTAATCTTCATTAAAAAAATTAATATTCTATAAATAGATCATATGTCAACTATGGATTTTCACATATATTTATGAAATTGATTCTGAGACGGATTTATGTAATATAACTTCACTTATTTCTTAAAAAAAAAAATAACGCTTCCTAGTTCCTAAAACTACAATTACTGACTCACTGCTCTATTTAAAAAAAAAATAACGCTTCCTAGTTCCTAAAATTACAATTACTGACTCACTGCTCTATTTAAAAAAAAAATAAAAAAATTCCGCGAGAATGAAGTGCAAAGAAAAATATATTTCAACCTTCTGTTTCACCACAAGGTTGGAACACACAGTGGCATAAGGAAAGAGACGCACCCAATCTCCAAAAGAAAACGCCGTAGAAAAGTAATCATGTCTTCATTACCCAGTTTTGACAAATCTGATTTTTGAGTTTTACAGGGCTTCTCTTCCCAATTTCATCCGCGATGTCTTTTCTTCTTTCTTCATGGTATGTTTTTAGATCCCAGCTTTCCGTTCTCTCCCTTCTCTCTCCCTCTACCGCTCTCTTTACAACTTTCCTTCTTTTGTTTCTCATCGATTTTTTGTTCATTATTATCCACTTCGAAAGGTCGAGATTCTTTTTTCTTTGTTATGTTTAGTTTTATGGATTTGATTGGATATATTTCATGTTAGAAAACCCATTTTCTGTTTTCTTGAATGATGCTCATTCCGTTGCTCAATTTTGAAACTTTTTGCCTATGCTTTGCCATTATTTAGCTGCGTTGATGAGTCAGCTTCGTCTTGATTTTGTCTTGCTTTGATTACCTACTTGATAAATCATAGAGATCCCAACATTTTTTAATGAAGTTAGAATCTCATGTTAAGTGCAGAAACTGAGGAACACAGCAGCAAATAAGCAACAACCTTCTATTGCAATGGGAGAATACAATGGTGTTGCACTTGTGGACATTAATGAAGAACCTTCTTCACCTAAATTGGACAACTTTAAGAAAGTTTCAATTTTGCACCTCATTTTTCTCATCTTCTATGAGGTTTCCGGTGGACCTTTTGGAGTGGAGGATAGTGTTCAGGCAGCTGGTCCACTCCTTTCACTTCTTGGGTTCTTGGTATTCCCATTAATATGGAGTGTTCCTGAGGCATTGATTACAGCCGAGATGGGTACCATGTTTCCAGAAAATGGAGGTTATGTTGTTTGGGTTTCAACTGCTTTGGGTCCTTACTGGGGTTTCCAGCAAGGATGGATGAAGTGGCTGAGCGGGGTGATTGATAATGCTCTGTACCCAGTTCTTTTTCTTGACTATTTGAAGTCAGGAATCCCAGCTTTGGCTGGTGGTTTACCAAGAGTTGCAGCTGCTCTGGCTTTGACATTTCTCCTCACTTATATGAATTACAGGGGTTTAGCTATTGTGGGATGGGTTGCAGTTCTTCTGGGGATCTTTTCGATCCTTCCTTTTGTCGTTATGGGGCTAGTGGCAATTCCGAAGCTGGAGCCTTCAAGATGGTTTGTGATGAATTTGCATGATGTGGACTGGAATTTGTATTTGAACACTCTGTTTTGGAATTTAAACTACTGGGACTCAATAAGTACTCTTGCTGGAGAGGTGGATAACCCGAAGAAAAATCTACCTAAAGCTCTCTTTTATGCTTTGATCTTGGTTGTTCTTAGTTATTTCTTCCCCCTTTTGGTTGGCACTGGTGCTATCCCACTCAACCGTGATTTGTGGACTGATGGGTATTTCTCAGATATTGCTAAAATTCTTGGGGGTGTTTGGTTGAGATGGTGGATCCAAGGGGCTGCAGCAATGTCAAATATGGGAATGTTCGTGGCTGAAATGAGCAGCGACTCTTTCCAGCTTTTGGGGATGGCAGAGCGAGGAATGCTTCCAGAGTTCTTTGCCAAGCGGTCTCGGCATGGCACACCTTTGATTGGGATTTTATTTTCTGCATCTGGTGTTATTTTGTTATCATGACTAAGCTTTCAGGAGATCATAGCTGCAGAGAATTTTTTATATTGCTTTGGAATGATATTGGAATTTATAGCATTTGTACTGTTAAGGATAAAATGTCCCGTTGCTTCACGGCCTTACAAGATTCCTGTGGGAACAGTTGGAGCCATTCTTATGTGTATTCCTCCGACCATACTGATTTGTGTTGTGCTAGCTCTTTCAACAGTCAAAGTGATGATTGTGAGTCTGTTTGCGGTGGCAATTGGCCTTGTGATGCAGCCCTGTCTCAAATATGCCGAGAAAAAGAGGTGGATGAAGTTTTCTGTCAGTGGTGAACTCCCAGACCCTCATGAAGGTAATCAGGAGAGAGTTGATTTCTTAGAAGACTAGTCGATAATATTTGACACATGCCAGCTCAAAACCGTCATGCTGCAGCTCAGAAAGATAGTCATGAAACAAGCAAGTGGTAGCTTGTGTCTATATATGCTTCGGCTTTTTGAAATGCTTAGGAATACATGCCCCGAGACCTGTTTATCATCCTTGTTTTAAAGCATGGAAGATGAAAATGATAGTTGAAAAAAAGCAAGAAGAAGCAAAGTTGGGGAAGGAAATGGTGCAAATCATTTTTTTCAGTATGTTGTAAAACTGCCATAGAAAATTAGCAATGGAGTTTCAATTTGTTTTACAGCATCTGTTTGATTTAGGACTTCCGATAATGTTTGAATGGTTTGGCAAACAGCATTAGACAAGCATTCTTGTTCGGGTTCTACATGTAAAATCTCAAGTGGCGTAGAGTCTCCCCTGTTTCCATGCAAGTTAATCGAGGAGAGAATATCCAGATCCTCTTTAACTGTTGCATAAGTCCATCTCTTCCCCATAATAAGGCAATATGGGCAAAAGTCCATCTTTTTCGTACACGTGTTTCCAATTAAACTGGTGAGGGTTGATCTGAATTGCCTGGATGACAGGGAAAACCCCAATTTGGCTTTATCTTTTTTTAAAAAAAAATTCTGTACACTATTTTTTCTTTTTTAAAGTAGTGGGTGACACATTGTCTGTAGAATATGACATGTCATCTCTGATCCAATCTTTTTTTTTTTTTTTCCAATCTTCTATCACCGAAGAGATGGCTTGAAAAACATACTAGGGTTTTATGGAAAAAAAAAAAAACAATTTCCAATCTATTTTCATTTAAAAACATAAAAAAACACTTTTATAATCTTAATATACTAGTTTTTCACTATAAAAACTAAATCGATTCAAAAACACATAAGATATGTTATCTGTAGCCTAATTTCTTGTAACTAGAAGTGGTTGGAAATCAGAATAAGATTTTTTAGATTAAAAAATCTAATTTTAAATTTATTTTATCTAAAAACATATAATTTTTTTTTATAGCTCTAATGTAAAAAATATCTCATAAAAAATTAAAATCAATTAAAAAATATAAAAGGCGTTTCGCCATTAGCCCAATTTCCTATTACAATAAAGGTTGTTGAAAAAATAAATTTGAGTTTTTTAATTAAAAAATTTAATTTTTAACCTGTTTTTATTTTAAAACACCTAAACAAACTCTTTTAATTTTAATAAATTAATTTCTCAACTAAAAACTATATATCAAAAGTAACTGAAAAACACAAAATTTTTTAAAAAAAACGACCTTCCTTTTTCAACAACATGGAAGGCAAAGAAACCTCAATGACATACCCAATTTGAAGAGAAACACTTTGACTTAAAAATTGTTATATTTAGAGGAATTTTATCGGTGAATATTTTTTCTTTTATGCTATTTTTCATGGACCCTGTCTATTCTTTTAAACTTAGGAACTGATATGAAAAAAAATAATTTTTTTGACTAAAATACATAATTGTAAAACTAAAACAAAAATTTCCTTTTCTTTTTGAAAAAAAATCTTAATAAAAGGCGTTTCGTCATTAGCCGATTTTTTTTAAAAAAAGCACTAACAACACAATAATTAATTTTTAAAAAAGGATTCAATCCCTAAAATTTTTATTTTTTTAATCACCAAAAATCAAATCCTATCTTGCCATATCAAATATTAATTTAATATTGGAAAATTTTTTAAAATAAAAAAAATGGGTGACTGAAATAAAATAAACTCAAATGATAAAAAAAAAACTTACACTATATTGTTTCAATAAACAATATCATGTGAGAGAGTCTCTGATAATTTTGCTATCAAATTTAGTTTTTTTTAAATATTAATATTAACTCTTATTTTCTAATGTATTTAAAAAATTTCTCTCAAATTATATTTTATAATGTGGTTTATTTTAACTTGAATTTCATTGAAAAAATATCTAAGATAAGTGAAACTCCTATAATACTAAACAAATCTAGATAGCTAATTCTTTTTATTGGAAAATATCAGATAATATTAAAAAAATAAAAATGCATTTAAAAATATAGTTTATTAACCAGGTTCTTTCACATGCTTTTTTGTGAGTTACATAAAAAAATTAAAAATATTTAAGACATAAAAAACTTTATGGTATTATCATTAAATGTTTTTGGTGAGACAAACTTCATTTTATGTTTTTGAACTATATTTTATTTAATAGCATGATAAAAAAACATTTTCAAAGCCAAATAGTCAATTAAATATCAAGATGTTTTGTAGATTACAAGCATTGTTTTCTAAACAAAAACTCATTATAGTTTTAAAAGCAATTTTGATTTAAACATTTAAATAAATTCCTAGTATTATGTATATGATTAAAAATATTGATAACTATGATAAATAAATCTTTAAAAAATAAATGTGTTAATTAAATATTAAACATCCTTTTTTTTCATATCGATGTTCAATCTTAAGGCCCTGTAACTAGGTTTTAATTTTTTATTTTTTTAAAAGGGTTAATAGCAGGTTTTTTCAAAAAAAAAGTCATAACTGATTCTAGCCAGCTTATTATTGTCTGAAAAATCAAGGTAAGGATTTATTTACCTAGAAAAATCATTTTTTCAACCAATTTAACCTAAAAACACTTTATATATACCTTTAAAATATCAAGAAATCAACCTACTAACCTAAAAAATAATTTAAACTACAGAATCAAACTAACTGTATAAAATATCATATTTATAACTTATATATAGTTTTTAAATTATATTGAGGCTTAAAATAACTACCATAAGGCTCTCATCATCTAGTGCAACTCATTAATATAAATTTTAACTATTTTAACATTCATAATATGTCAATGCTGAACTCTTTCTCTTTATATCAAAATTTGATGGGCTATATCTTTTCTTACAAAAAGATTTCAAAAATAATAAAAATAAAGTTTAGCAAAAAAGTTAAATTTTAAAAAATTAAGAGACTAATCACCTATTAAGTCAATAAGGTAAGGGACTAAACTAAATTTTTTGGATGAAATTAGAATTTTTCATTTATTTTACATGTTTTTTCACTTTAATTTTTAGATTTTTAGTTTCATCATATATTAAAAAAAAAAGAAACAAATTGACTATTAATTCAGGCCTAAAAGGGTTTAATTATACGGAATAAAAGATCAAAAATCAAATTATTTTTTTAAATCACTATTTTAATTTATAATAATTATTAATGTTACACCTTATAAATCCAATTCTAAGTATCTTCGAGTTTCTTTTATAAGAAACCCTTTTCTTTTCTTTTGATCACGTTACTACTTGATTGAATAAATTGCATGTAAGTAATAATATTTCTTGATTTGTGTTTGTGATTGTTTATGTTTTTATTATTGACAATGTTGGTTATTTGAGTTTGTTCAAATGTTGTTTTGGGTTGGTTTAGGTTATTCTAAAATTGCATAGGAAGAGAAGAAGAATGTTGACAGCATTCAAGAATTTGGATTCTTTAATTTTTTTTAAAATAATTGAAAATCCTATTTCTATTATTAGATTTTTCAAAGAATTCAATTTGAAGAACAAGTTGAAGGGAACAATTTTTTGTTATCTTTAAGATTTTGGCTCCTGGGGTTTTAATGGTGATTTGCATGATTTTCAACACTCTTTATTTAGTTGACCAATAAAACAAAATATATGGAGGAATGACCAAATTATCCTATTTAGTGAAGAAATATTGGGTATTTAATTATTTTTGACTTGAGAATGTCCTCTCTTTTTAAATTTTCTAAGCAACCAAACGAAGGTGGTTGCTTGCAACTAGTTTCTGACTTTCTGTCATGAAAATACAAAAACTTTTTTGAATTTTTTTCATCTAAAAACTATGTTTCATTTTTTTTACAAAAAAACAAGAAATTCATGCCTACTTCTCTTATGAGTTAACTACTTAACCCGCGATTCAAACGTTGATCCAGACAATAATATTGACCGATATCTTAACTATGTAAAATATAGTGATACCTATCTGATGATTCATGCATTCCATATGATTTTGTTGAAATGTTTTGTGTTTGTTGGGATGCTTAGTGGTAAGATGGAATTAGTCTGTATAAAAATATCTCGCACTGTCTGTTCCATTGGATCTATATAATAATTTCATGCACTGCCTGTTCCATTGGCTTTAACTTTATTCCTGGGATATTATATATATGATGATGAAAAATAAGGTGTTTGATTTTACATTTTTGTTTTATTTATCACTCCTTCGAAGAAAAAGCTTTGAATAAACTTTGCTGTTTATGTTAATACTATGGATCAATAGAGAAATACAAGCGCTATGGAGAGGAAGAAACGTGCTTTTTCACACCAAGGAACAGAAAGTACAGGAATGGAAGTAGACCTGATCGAGCCGCTGAGGGTGGATACTGGAAAGCCACAGGAAAAGATAAGACAGTCAAATACAGGGGCACTCCAGTTGGAAACTGGATTTCTATACTGGAGAGGCTCTACAGGGTGAAAAAACCGACTGGAAAATGCATGAGTTTACAGTGAATGATCCAGCTCCTAATCATCAAGTCAGAAATACTAGAGATTACATGAGGGTACTTGGATATGCATTCCTCCATTTGTTGTTGCCACAGTATATTGTTTAAATTTCTGTTCATTAACTTGATTGACTAGCTAGTCAAGTGTTTTCCTTTCCTTTTTGTTTGTTTTTGGTGCAGCTGGCTGACTGGGTTTTATGCAAGATTTACAAGAAAACAAAGAAGCCTAAAGATGTCAGAAATCGACAAAGAGACGAGGAAAATTCAACACTAACTGCTATGGATAATGTTGATTACGTAAATAACCACGATGAAGATAGGACTGTTCTGCCTGTTATGGATGCTGGTTATGTTGGGGAGATGGACAATGTTGGTGCTGATGCTGTTTTCACCGATGACTATAGCCAACAAGAGATTGCTTCAAGTGAATTCCCTGCTGATTTTAACCTCCATGCTGCTTCATATAGCGGCATGTTTCCCAGTTTGGCCGAGACATGTGGAGATCCTGCCTCAGTATTTTCCAATTCTGACAACCTGTCAACCCTCTATGATCTTTTGAATCCTGCAAACTTTCATTGGAACATTGATGATCCACTTTTTGACCTCCATACTAGCGTGCCAATTAATATTCCAGGAAATCCTGTTCCTGCTCCCGGCAACCTCGCAAATCCTGCTTCTCCTTGCAACCTTCCCGCAGCTAATCACGTTCCTTCTTCGCGCAATCTTCCTTCGGCATATCTTGCTCCTCCTGGCAACTAAATCCTGCAACCAGTAAGTCAACTTCAGCAGCAGATATTGTGCCCAAAAAACAGCCTGCTCTAACGAATAGGCTGGGATTGAGAGTTTGATTCGAATAGAGTTCTAGAATGGTTGCCATCCGCCTTTTGATACAGCCAACGCTTGTATCATTAATTTCTTAAAAAAGTACTTTAAAGGTTTTTGTTTCCACTGTAGCTCCCACATTGCACTGTTCACTGTAACATTGCTTTTCTTTTTCTTTTTTCATTTTGATCCTTTTAGAAATTTTTATTTTGGTATTAATCTCAAGATATTCATTTCGATCACTGATTTTTTTTTAATTTCTTATGTTCATGTAATTAAAAGTACGGCTTTCCTACCTGACACTCAACTTTTTTTTTTTTTCATTTTGATCCTCTTAGAAATTTTTATTTTGGTGAGAGAAATATCATTTAGGTATAAAAAAAGTTGATTTTGATATTAATAAATTTGTTTCGGTAAGAGAAATACCATTTAGGTATTTTGAGTTTCCATCTCACTGGAAGGAGTAGGTTAAGGTGAGGAAATAATTTTTTATTTGATTTAATTTTTTGATTTATTATTAATTTAAGAATGTTTTGAAATTAAAAATTAATTTATCAAAATTTAAACAGTTGGATTTATCCCGACAGAAAAATAATAGTCAGCTCAAAATCAATTCTTATATGCTACAAGGACTAAGGAATTAGTCTTAATAAATACAGGGACTGGTAATTAGCTCAAACCCAATCGATGGCGTAAGAAAATAAAAGCTCTACCGATGCCCGAATACAGGTGCTTCAGCCCAACTGAGAGCCCGACCCAACAAATGCTAATCTACCATTCAATATGTATTGTGCACTATCTCACCATTTTCTGCTACAAGAATCAGAAAGAAAAGAGACTCGGAGAATAAGAATGGGTAGAAACAGAGGAGGAGGAGGAGACACGGAGCTTCACGCTGCGGCGAGGTCCGGTGACATGAAAGCGGTTGAGTCTATTGTCAGCTCAAACCCTTTGGCTATTAACTCTAGAGATAAGCACTCTAGAACCCCGTATCCTCCTCCTTTTTCCTTGTTCGTTTTCTTAATCCTTTATTTAGTATTTTAATCATCATTTTTTTTTCTAGTATTTCGGGCTTAACATGATCCAGCTAATAGCATATTCAAGATTTTGCTAGCTTTTAGGGTACGCTTACTTTGATTGGATACTTCTTGTACTTAATTGGTTGAATAAAACATGGGTTTCTTTCATACTCATATTTCTTTGTACTAGATAGGTGCAAAGTCAAAAAAGATTTGTGGGTTTTCGTTGTGTTTTGCAATGGGTAATTTAATGCTAATTTGTTGTGAACTTGTGATGTTCTCAACTTCCATTTTCAATTTGTAAAGTGGTAGATTATCATCCAAACTTCTTTCACTAAATTTCTCTGAACTAATTACTTATCGAGAAGCATAGGCCTTCTGAATAAACAAGGCAAGTTTTTTTTGGGTTTATTTGATGATGACTTCAAGGTAAAGTTCAGTACTCTGAGTTTTTCATGCCCTTTTAGAGACAGAGACAATCTTGCTTGAAATAGAGCTGATTCCCCATTACTGAGACAAGAGATGTGAGCCGGACAATCTTTTTTGTTGTCCAATTATCCTCGGAATTCAGAAAGGACTCGAAGAGTAAATGAAATTTGCTGTCTTTTGTATGTCCGTGTCTGGCTTCATTTCTATTTAGCTTGTTTGTTTTGCTGTCTATTAAAATTTCTAGGTAGCAGGAGGAATAAGTAGATACGAAGCATTTATAGACGAGAAAATACTGGAATGAAAGTAGATGGATTGACTGGAGTGAAGTCCAATGTGTGCTCTCCATCCATCTGCAGGCTTGTTTGCCTTATCTTGCATAATTGAAATTTATAGTTCAAGGAAAGGTGTCTTGAAATTAACAATTCGAGCTTTTACTACAAATAAAGATGTTTGCTAATGTCCTATCTAATCGTGAACTTTTAAACTTGTGTCGTGAAATGAAATAAGAGAATAATCATGTCAGACATTATTTGTGTAGTTTTTCGTCTTTAGTTTTATATGTTCATTTTCTTCTTTTCTTTCATGAATATGCTGGCTCCGGTGTTTCATGCTAATTTCTAATCAGAACTCCAAAAGATACTGAAATTGCCGGGTTTTAGAATTTTTCTTCCTTGACACTGTACCCTCGTTTCATAGATTGCATTTAGCAGCATGGTCAGGGCAGGCAGAGGTGGTGAGTTATCTCTGCAAGCATAAGGCTGATGTTGGTGCTGCTGCCATGGATGACATGGGAGCAATTCACTTTGCCGCCCAAAAGGGCCATTCAGAAGTTGTCCGAACTCTGCTTTCATCTGGGGCCTCCATCAAAGCGTCCACCAGAAAGGGCCTTACTCCACTTCACTATGCTGTTCAAGGGTCCCATCTGGAGCTAGTCAAGTATTTAGTAAGGAAAGGAGCAAGCCTTACTGTCAGGACAAAAGGAGGAATGACTCCTCTTGATCTGGCAACCAATGTAGAAATCCACGTGTTTCTGGAAGAAAGCGAAAGGACACCTAAGAAAGGAACCTTGGACGGAAAAGACAAACCTGAAGCATCTGAACCAAAGACATCGTTGCAGGATAAATCAGAGAATTCTGGAGGTGAAGCTAATGGTGGAGAGCACGAAGAACAGGAGAATGGAAATGTAAAGAGGAAGGGCGAAGAAGATGATGCTAAGGAAACTTCATCGGAACCGAAAAGAGCCAGAGTAGCACTTAATCATCTTCTGATTGCAGATGACACTCAGGAAGAAAATCTGTAAGGATAGTATAGAAGATAGTGGGCTAACTAACCTCTTAATCAACACGCCGGCATCAATGTTGTGTTGAGAGTACATCTTTGGTATGGCTTTAAGTCGATTAACTCGTTGTTTTTATATTTATTTTTAAATTTTATCTTTTGATTGAAAATTAATTTTATAATTAATTTTAGTTTATTTTTTATGAAGTTATTTAAATTTTATAATTTAATTTGTATTTTTTTTAATATTTTATTTATTGAGAGTTAAATTTTATGATTTGTTTTAATTTATTTTATACGAGGTTGTCTAAATTTCATAATTTGAGTCACAAGTTTAATAAGTTAATTTTTAAATTGATTTTTTTTTATTTTACTTTTTAATATTAGATTGATTGAGAATTGTGTGTTATAATTTATTTTGATTTATTTTTTTATAAAATTATTTTAATTTCATGATTTAAATTGTAAGTTTACTAAGATTATTTTTTAGTTTGTTTTTTATAAGATTATTCCGATTATATGATTTAGATTATGAGTTTGATGTGTTAACTCTAGTTGTTTTTATTTTCTATTTTAATTGATTTTTTTAAATAGATTAATTAAGAATTTAGTTTTATAATTTAATTTAATTTATTTGTTATAGGGTTATTCCGATCTAATGATTCGAGTTATGAATTTGACTATTTAAGTTAAGTTGATTTAAATTATTTTTTTATCTTAGTTTTAATTGATTTTTTTTAATTTTATTTTGATTTGTATATTAGCTATTTGAATATTTTTAATATTAAAAAAAATGATATCATTCATCTAGTAATTTTCTAAATTATAATCATACTCAACCTCTATGAGTTACTATTATAATATTTAGGGTATTTAAAATGGTATTTAAAATCTAACTTTCATGCATGCAAAGCATTAATCCTTTACGGGGTTAAGCAAAGCATCAATTTTGAATCCATGAGAATTTGTTTTTAACTAATGTTAATTCGAATTAGAAAAGATAATATGAACAAGAAGTCTGCTTATTATTTTAACTACCATTAATAGAAAATCTAAAACATTGTGAATGTTTACTTGTTTTTTTTTTATCTTTTTTTTTACATAGAAAAAAAAACTTGCAATCAAGGGTATTATTATCTTTTTAAAAAGATAAATTTTTCATTTTTAAATTTATAGAGGCAAAGAGGTTTTTTGCATTTTTTTTAACGATAAGATTACTAAAATAACTTTTATGACAAATAAAAATAAAATTGAATCTAAGAACTCTTTTCTTAAGGAATAATTAGAGCCTTCATTTTTATTTAACAGTTATAATATATTATTTAGTTACAAAATGAACTATAATTTTTATATATAGATCCTATTTTTATCTATATTCAAAACTCAGTTTTACTAAACTAAAAATTGCATACTTTTCAGTGTTTAAACACAATAATTCTTCTCTTCCTTTCTTGACCAATGCTTTGAGTAATGGTGAATTTTATTTGAATGAAAAAATTACAAGGACTGTTTTAATAATTTTTTTTTTTTATTGTTACACTTGAAGATAATGATGATAAAGATGGAAGACTAACCTGCTAAAACCATTTTTTTTTTGTTCATCCATGAGAGCAGTTTTTTCTTTTGTTTTTCCCTTGTTACTGTACTTGAAAATGATGACGAAGGTAATAGAGAGTTGACCTACTAAAACCATTTTTTTTTTTTTCTTTGTTCTTTCTAGTCTTTATTTATGTGCTCTCCTTGTTCGTGTGGTAGGAAAAAAATGAACAGTAAAAATTTTAATTTTTAATTGTATTTTATTCAAAAATTAACATTTAATATTATTTAATAAAACTATATAAATTAGAAAGAAATCACATAATGACTTAATATTTACAGAATTTGTTTGTAATTCTAATTTTATTTATGATGATATTTTACATGATTTTGTTGTACATTCAAAAATCCATGAAGATTGTAGTTTTTATTTAATGAATTTCGTATGTGATAGAATTGTAAATAGTTTAATGAATAATAAAAAATATTTTATATTTTATATTATTTATTTCATTATATAATAGTAATAGTTAAATCTACATTATTTAAATTAAAAACCATCAATATATGTATATCCTTATTAGTTATTTTATAACCTTAATTTAAAAGATATTCTTAATCAAATACGTTAAATTATTTTTTGTTTGACTTCAATTTCAACCATAATTTTAACCAAACATATATTTTTTTAAACAAACCTCAATTAAAAATATTTTTATAAAATAAATTTTTTTAAATTATAACCACAATAACTATTATAATACTAGACTCACTTATAGCTGCCCTGCCCTTGAAAACAAAAATACTAATACTTTCATGCAGGAGCCTTTTCGTTTTATACTTTTAGAGTTTTCATTATACACTGATGGATTAGGGGAATTTCTATTTTATAATTAAATAAAATATTATAAAAAAATAAAAATGACTAGCATATCCCATATCCCATGCATGTGTTAACGAGAAGATGTTGCTCGTGCTTTTTGACATATATATATATATATATATATATATATATATATATATGTTGCTCGTGCTTTTTGACATATATATATATAATTATGTTGATATTAAAAGCACAACGATGTTTTTTTTTCCTCTCCTTGTTAAAATATGGTAATGTCCTTTTATTTATTTTTTATATCTAATTTTATTATTATCATTTTTATATTCCAAATAAACCTAGTTTTTATAAATGGATAAATGACTCAATTTATCTTTATATAATCAATTAATTCTCTGATATATCCTCATATTTTTAATTATGTCTATTATATATTTGTATAATATCTAATTTTATAATATATCTTTAAATCAAGTTTTTCTATAGGCATCAATATAATTATACTTTTTATTTCTAAAATGCTATACAAGATTATAGTTTTATTTTATATTTTTAAATTAAAATCTTATATTAATTTTTTTTTAACGATTGAGTAATTTAAAAATAAATAATTTTTAAAATATTTTTAGTTATTTTGATAAACTTTTATATTTATATCATTTTAAAATTTAAGGTTAAATTCAAAATAACAAAATATAATCTTATCAATTTAAATAGGAAAACTTGATCGAGGGATATGTTGGAAAATTTGATCGAGGGATATGTTGGAGAATTGTATGCCTTTCGAGAATCATAATTAAAATCTTGAATTAATTTATCAATCCACAATAACTATAAAATTTTATAAAATTATAAAAATTAATTTTTAATCAATTTAATATTAAAAAATTTTAAAATAGTAAAAGATTAACAAAATCGTAGTGAATTGATGATATTAGCCAGAGCCTTTCTTTTGAAAGTGGATTGGAATTGGGAAATGCAATGTTTCGATGAATTAACTTCGATTGAAAATCCTATAAATTTAGGATATTTGAAGATTATAAAGAGAAAAGAAAAGGATTTTAGCTGAAGAGAAACAAGAGAATAATCATGTTTCTATGCATTTTCGCTCTTTCAAACGATAATTATCAAGCGTTTAAGAAGCGGGGGATTTTTAATAATTTCTTAAAAAAAATAAAAGAGAAAGCTGAGCATGAAACGACAGCGTTTAAAAATCAACTCGAGAAAAAAGAAAATCACAAATGCACTGGGAAAAACACGGACAGAGGGCTCTCCGGCATCTACCCTTTGCTGCTTAACTATCCCAGCAATCCCTCCCTCACCCCCTCACAGTCTCACCCAAAACTTGAGCCATGGATTTGCTCTCACTCTCTTCCTCCACAGCAACCCTGCTCTTTTCCTCTCTAAGACCCACTCTCTCTCCCCACCAAAACCTAAAACCACCCACTTCACCTTTCCCCTTCCTTTGCAAACCCCTGACACCATCTTCTCTAAAACTTTCACCTCTCAAAACCCCCCTTAAATCCTCCCTAACCTCAACCCCAATTCCCCAACTGGCCTCCCCTCAAACACCGGCCACCTCCATGAGAGGGGCCGAGACGGACGCTATGGGCCTCTTGTTGAGGGAAAGGATTGTGTTTCTAGGGAACAATATCGATGATTTCGTGGCTGATGCTATTATTAGTCAGTTGTTGCTTCTTGATGCCCAGGATCCTACTAAAGATATCCGTCTCTTCATTAACTGTCCTGGAGGTTCTCTTAGGTAATCCTAAACAATATCCATTTTTCATTTTCTTATTTTGAGCTCAAAGTGTGAATCTTTTTTACTACTCTTTTTTTTATAGGAAAGATGGATACTTAGATTTTTTATCTTGTTTATTAAAGCAGTGTGTGGTTGGTTCAAGTGATTGAATTGAAGTGGGATTAGTGAAACGCATGGGGTTTTAATCCTAGTCCAGGGGAAGAAAATGGTATTGAAATTCTTTGGAATGATCATTTGTTGTAGCATGCATCCAAGTGAGTCTAGTTTATATAATTAAACAGTTATTAGTTATGATTCGAGGCTTCATATTTGCAAGAGAACTGATTATAGATTGATGGTTAGTTTCATCTTGATATTGCGGGAACGGAAAAATAAACAACATATAAAAGTGAACAAGAGCCATAAAGATCTTTGAGAAGTGTGTTTGTAGATGATAGATCCTCTTGGGTGATCTAGGGCACAGAAAATCTATTTCCTTTTTTAACATTTTGTTTTTTTTTGTTCACTTGCTGATCAGCTTTTAATGATATTATGAACAGTGCTTCAATGGCTATCTATGACGTGGTGCAGCTTGTGAGGGCTGATGTTTCCACAATTGCCCTCGGCATTTCAGCTTCAACAGCTTCTATAATTCTTGGAGGTGGAACGAAAGGCAAACGTTTTGCAATGCCCAACACACGGATAATGATTCATCAACCTCTTGGAGGAGCTAGTGGGCAAGCAATAGATGTGGAAATTCAAGCACGAGAAATTATGCACAACAAGAATAATATAATTAGAATTGTTTCAGGTTTCACTAGTCGCACGGTTGAGCAGGTGCAAAAGGATATGGATAGAGATCGTTACATGTCTCCAATTGAAGCAGTTGAATATGGAATAATTGATGGAGTTATTGACAGAGATAGCATCATTCCTTTGGCTCCAGTGCCAGAAAGAGTGACACCGACCCTGAATTATGAGGACATGCGTAAAGATCCAATGAAATTCTTGAATCCTGATGTCCCTGATGATGAGATATACTAGCCCAGAGCATCCTTTAAAGGTATCTTACTCTTAATGTGTTCCTTGCAATGTTCATGAAGCTTTAAGAATTACATGTCCTAAATTGGGGGTTGTCTGCATTTTGCCAAACTGGGTTTCTCTGAGAACAGATGTAGGAAATGGTTACATGTGTGTCTTTGTAAAATGTTTTCTCATTTTAGATAAAACAATGCCTTCTTAAAATGCAAATGGCTGGTATGACATGGGTTGTCAGTATATTTCCAAGAAATAAAATAGATTTTTAGAATGCAATACCTAATTCATTCTCGTTATGAATTGGAGAGGAAACAGCTCAGTGAAAGCCAGGAATGGATCAAAAGAATCAGGTTTTGCTATAAAGAAACTAGGCAGTTCCCTTCTATATTGTGTTGTGTAACCTTCATTATAGACTTGTCCAGATGTTTTGCAGGCTAAACCATATTTTACTCGAGAAAGAATGTAGGAATCATTGTTATATAAAACAAACAAATTCTTTTGGTTCTGCAACATTGAGCGCCTTCTTTTCCTTCACTCTTGAATGAGAATTAAAGGAATCATAGTGTCTTACAGAATTTGTAGCTAGTCTGATAAAAGCAGCTAGTTATAATACAAATGGTAAGAACCGAATTGCTATAATGCTCTAAACCCATGGATTTGATTAAGTAGGCACTTGAAAATTGACTGCTTACAAAGTACACCAGTGCAGTTACAATTTTGATCTCCAATAAGTCCACTCAACTCAATTAAATCTCAATCCCAAACTAGTTGGGGCTGACTAAGTGGTTACTTCTTCTTCTTTTCAATTTCTTTCATGCTTGTCATTCTCTTTAGGGCATTTTTGATATTGTCATGAAAAGGATGCTTGTTGTTTTATGTTTTCAAGCCCAGCTAGCTTGTCATTCTGCTAGGAAAGTACAATGCCGGGGCTTGGCACCTGGCAGTAAGGGATGGGTTCTAGATTCTCAACACCTTCGGTCATGTAGTAATCCCATTGCTTAGACTGGACTTTGTTATTTTTAACTACTTTAATATTAGTTACAGTGCAGTGGGAAGAGTTAACAGGTTTTTCTGTGTTTTTATATTTCTTCGTGCTGGATGATAAGATTGATGCAAGAGGGCAAACTTGCACCATCACTGAAACATGAGATGGTTTATGGTCACTCCCTTTGTTTCTTAGTGGAAAAGAGAGAGCAAATAATGACAAACAAAAAGAATACTAAAAGCTTGAGTTACTTCCTTGCCTATTTTTGACTGGCTGTAGTCATTTTGAATTGTTTAAGGCCTCCTTGTAGTTGAAATACTTGTGCATAATAATGTAAAGCTTGACAACATTTTTAATCCTCGTCATCGCTCATAAAAACTATAGGATAAAAGCTTAGTGCTATGATGTAGTTTTTTATGTAGGTGTGCATGATGATCAATGAAACTTCTAAATATGAGTCAGATTTTTTCCTTTTGAAATTCTCTTAGCCAGGTATACATCACGGTTTGGAGTTGACGGATTGTCCATGCATTTGAATGGTAACCTGCGGGAGTTGACGGATTGTCCATGCATTTGAATGGTAACCTGCGGGAGTTGAAACAGTTTTTCTTGCTTTGCTGACCAGCCTGGACCACATCAAATTCAGTGGATTGATACTACGACGTTAAGCTGTTTCCATATCTTGTTTGTTACTTCAATAAATTCTCCATTAAAAGAGAATTGTTTGATTATCATCCTCATTTTGTACCTCACTTATGAATACTATTGCAACTGATTGAGCTTTAAAATGTTGGCACTGATTTGATATGATTCAGTCAGGGAGAGGGCGAGTGACTCAAATCTTAATACTCAAAAAGTGAAAAGCGTACCATCATTCCACTCCCAAGAGTAGTGGATCTTTTGGGGTTGAATACGGGATTCTGATGGCACTTCTTGCCGATGCAAACTTTATGCTGGGATCCTTTCACACCAACTCCCAAGAGTTTTGAGGTTCCAAACCCATCCCCTATCCCAATTGAGAAAAGAAAAGTGATTTCCACAGTAGTCCTAGCGAGCTTTGCTTCTGCCGGTGAGACCAGTCTGATCTAATTTGGTGGGGTGGACGGAACGGTATTCTAATTCGATGAACTGAGCAGATGAATGCATCATCGCTGAGCATTGCTGCCCTCCTTGTGTATATAGTCTCTTTGCATTTCTTTGCTCGACATTCCACCATAGGGGAAAACAGCGAAGTGACTGATAGAAGACTCGAGTAAGTCACGTTATGTTTTTATTCTTGAAACGTTAAAAGCACGTCTAACACGTCCTTTTGACACAGCAAGGCTTCTTCCGTTTTGGGAAGAATCATTGTATTCTTCCCCTATATCCTTTCTCCATGGATTCTATGCATTTCTTTCCTTGCCCGCTCTCTTTCCTTAAACCAAGGGTGGGAGAAAAAAATGCTTTACTGCTTGAGCAATATTAAATTGCCAAATTTAACAACATTTGTATCCACACTAACAGTAGAACAAAGCGCAACAATCAACAAAACATGGCCCCAGAACCAGTCATGGAAGTTAACATTCCTCCTAGAGATGATCTAGCAGAAATTACAAGGTCAACGAGGGATCTTCCACCGGCTCACTACACATTTAAGATCGAAAATTTCTCCCTACTTCCAAATGCAAAGATAGACAACGTCGAATCAGGTGACTTTGAAGCTGGCAGCTACAAATGGTATGTGGGCTCAACTTGGGTGCCATGCATGGTTGGCCTCAACTGGTGTCTTTATCTTCCTCTGAATTTACCATGTTTCCTTTCTTTCCATGACTAAGATTTTTGAACTGCAGGAGATTACGTCTCTATCCTAACGGAAACAAGAAAAGCAATGGGGCCGGGCACATATCTCTATATTTGGCATTTTCCAATTCAAATGCACTCCCTTTTGGCTGGGAGGTCAACGTGAACTTCAGATTGTTTGTTTATAACCAAATCCAAGACAACTACTTGACTATCCAATGTAAGCTAGCACACAACTTGATCAAATGGTCCTGTGAGACAGGGCTTAACCATTGTTTTTATTCAATTATTCTTGCACACATTAAGGACTCGAAACATTTGCTGATCAGATGCTAAAGGAAGGGTAAGACGCTTTCACGGAATGAAAACAGAATTGGGTTTTGACCAATTAATCCCTCTGACTATTTTCAATGACGAGTCAAAGGGATATCTAATTGATGATCGTTGCATATTTGGAGCTGAGATTTTTGTTATTAAACCTACTGGCAAAGGTGAATGCTTGACCTTCGTTAAGCAACCTTTCAACGACACTTTTACCTGGAAAATTCAGGACTTTTCAGCACTGGGTCGAGAATCTTACAAGTCCCCAGTTTTTTGTTTTGGAGGGCACAAATGGTACGTGAGATTAAATGAAATGCTATATTTATTGGAATGTGTATTAATTTGTTTTCAACGTAGGGCTTTACTGGTTTATCCGAAAGGGAATTCAACAGAGAAAGGAAAAAGCTTGTCTATCTACTTAGAAATGGAGGATTTTGAAACTCTTCCATGTGGACGAACAACGTATGCTGAATACATGCTGCGTGTGAGAGACCAGCTGTTTGGAAACCATATCGAAAAAAAAGGTCAATTCACAACTTCTGCTTAGATTGTTAGAAAGGAAAAAAAAAATTGTTCTGTCAAGCTTTATTTTTACTGATAAATGGTTTAATCGATGTGCTGCAGCCAATACCCATTTTTCTAATTCAAACAAGAACTGGGGTCACCTAAACTTTATGTCTCTCGATGACGTCAACGCCCTTCCAAAGGGGTTTCTAGTTAATGATGCTTTGGTTGTTGAGGTACAAATTGATGTGATAACGGTGGTCAAGGAATTCTCCCGAAGCTGCTCGTACGATCATGTGTGCCAAAACTCCTAAAATTTTATTTTCAGAAAATATTGTAAGTCAAGAATTCGGTTGCAAAAAGGCTGCCTTGTCTTTGAATTGGGAGTATTGATTGTCCATATTCTTTAAGCTGTTCTAATTCTTGATGTTGTTTCCTGCACATTTCTCAACCCCTTTCGTATCCTATTGTGCGTTTATTTTTGCTTCTGTTTTTATATTTGCTTTGAGGTACAACCTTCTATCGCAAAGACAGTAAATTTATATTTTTATCATGCGTCTTTTGCTTTTAGTGGTCGCCCCCTACTAAAAATAACTGCAGCGGCAAAAACAAACTTCAACAATTTTAAAAACAAACTGTAAAACTGATAAAAACATGGGTTAATTTATAAAAGAAACTTTAAAATGAAATTTTTTAAAGTAATGAGACCACGACTTATTGAATGATCATGATCATCCCGTGACCTGAATCATTGACTCATCTGAGTTTAATAGCTCTGCAAAATGCTACAGATTTGTTGTTCATAAGGACCTGAAACCTGTTTTGATGAACTTGAAATCTGGTTGGGGTACAAAAAAGACGCTACTAAATTAAGCTTCATCATGTCTGGCAGTATTTTGTATACAATCACAATATGAGTATGTGACTTCTCTGCCTGCATGCTTACTCGATTGACCGAGTATCTTACTAGCAGGAATTTGCATCCTGGCACCATCTAATTATGACTTTATGGCACCTTTTTTTGGTTTTTTTTGAAGTTTAGACCTGTCAACAGTAAAATATATCTAGGAAATATAATTAATAGCTAGCTTTGTAAGAAGTGATGCTTTGCAATGTTGAGTTGTCTACTTATCTCCAACTTCTATGTCCTGGTACCTGGAAATGGAAAAGGAGGTGTATTAGCTCATCAGGAAGCTAACGTGACAGGTATTTTAATTTTGAGGGCAAGGTAAATCTTAGCAAGAATTCATGCTTTCCTCTTGTGACTGTTCATTAAAGGAGTTGAAGATTCCAAGCTTCTTATTTTGTGTGTTCGGAAATCAACCTTTCCTATTTAGAATAGAAGATCTGTATGCATTAACTTTCCTATTGTAATTCCTAATACATCGCTAGTTTCCCGTTTTGTAGGAACAAGTAGAAACCTCCTTGTATAAATACATGACTTAATATCAATGACAGAGTATCTCAGCAAATTCAATCTCTTCCTCGTTATTTTCATTATGGACACTTGCACGCATTTCAAGATTTTGTTACTGTGTGTACAGAGTTTTTCAAGAGCTCTCACGAAATCTTTTCAATAATTATTAACAACCAAATTGCACATGATTTATCCCCGGATGCTGATTAAATTCTTTTTTGGCGCTCCGCCCCCTCTTGATCTGGGATATTTCCTGGGTTGATTGCCAGTCATGATGCTGATTCTTCAACGATGGAGCTTCAAGTACAATGGAGAATTCTGCCTGAAACACTAGAACACTGGCCTGCCAACCTGCACATTATACCAAACGCCTGAGATATTGAGATTCATGCATTAAAAAAACAGAACAAACACATTACTAGCTAATTATTAACAGGATTAGTTGCAGTTTAGGTTACAAATGTCACTCTAAAACATGCACTGTTCAGTATGTCATAACCTAGCTGTCCCGAGTCTTTCAACTTGAAAACAATAGATTGCCGGCTTCTCGAACCCTGAGTTATTGACTCAGTTCATTCATTTCTATAGTCACTCTGTCGGTAGATCCTCATATTCTGTCAAATTATTCTGGTTTATGGGTTTGGTAGCTGCTAAATATTGCATCATCAAAATTTAACAAAACACGAAAGATGCTGAACTGTCCTGAAGCAGTTGTTGCTGGCAGTAGTTCGCACAGACTATCATTGGCCTGTGGTTTGCCTTCTATACATTCTAATTAACGGCTATGATCTTGATTCTGACTGATTTGATCAACGCGTGTTCGTTTAGTAATCATCGCCCGGTCAAAGATGCAAAATTACGCCATTTCTTTGGGGGGAGTATTAAGTATTAGCTAATGAATTTTTTAGAATACCTTTTTAGCATTATTAACTAATGAATTAGTACAAGACTAATGTTCGCTTAGGTAATTGCTTGCGTGTGCCGCCTTGTTTCCGTCCTAGGCTAGTGCCTTAAACATCCTGAAAATATTAATCTAAGTAGAAGAATCTAATGTCAATTCAAGTAATTCTTGTTTAGTTTAACCGTTAGAGAATTACATGAAAAATATTAACCAATAATTCTTGATTGTGGCACTATTGAGCACATAAAATTTGAAGTAAATGAAGATTTGTTGTTGCTAATAATTAATATTTTATCTTTAAAATTTTATACCTCATGCAAATAGAATAATTGTAATCAAGTTTTTAGGATTTCAGCACAACCACCTTGATTAGTTACAATTCTAAATAAGTTTTATGAAACATTTAAAGTATAATTCCAAAACTATCTATAATATAACAGAACTTAAGCTTTAGAGTAAATAGAAAAACACAAAAAAAAATATAGTATAAATTTAAGGAAAATAATATTGAAAAAATTGAGGTGAAGAAAAGTCTAAAAATATGTCTCAAACACTTTTCATTCGGTCTCCTTTTATATTGGATATCAAAATCAAAACTGATATAGAATAAATTCTAGTAATTAATTCATGTCATCTATCAACATTAATTTTTTACTATAAAACAAAATTAACTTGATTATTTTTTGCTTTAAAATATAAATTTTTATTTTAAAAAAATTTTTCATGTTAAAAAAAACTATATAAACTGGTTATTCATAAGTTGAACAAATAAAAAATAGACTAATAAATAATAATTCATTATAGATTTAAAAAATATTTTATAGTAAATTCAAACCCAAACTTCAGACATGTATCTCGGTCCACTAGGGCAAGTTTGGTTTAAAACCTCACTTAATCTAAGATCTCTTCTCTCTTAAAACTTTGGTGTTCTAACATCTCAATTTTAAATTTTTAACTTTTCACTATAAAAACTTCAAAAAATCTTGTAATATTTTAAAGTGGGATTGAGGGTTCTTCAATTTATAAAACATGACAATTAAGGATTCTTTAAAATTAATTTTTCATGTACCAAGGGTTATGATAATCTTTTTAATCCATACTTACGAGATAGTCACTATATATATATATATATATATATAAACTAAAACATGTGGGAATAGTATTATGCATATACCTTGATTTATGGTAGATTATAATAATAAATTTATAATCTTGCCCTTTTAAAAAATCACGAAAACTATCTCAAAAGGGTATATTGGTCTTTCCACTTGATTCATTTATCATTCTAGAAATGTTTAGGGGCATCTTGATCTTTCATAAGTTGTTTTTATAGTAAAATTATTTTATTGCCTTTAAAAGTTGAAAAAAATTAACTTTGATCTGGGTGTTTTTTTGATATTTCACATTTTTTTTACTACAAGGTAATAACTTTTTCACCCTTAAAATTAAATTTCAAAAGCTTGTAGCGGGGCTTATTCATCACTTCGCAATGATTTTTTTCACAATAATTTTTTGATTCTAGAGACAATATGGTGTTTTTATAAAATAATAAATTAAAAGGTTGTTAATACCTTAGTTGCACATATCAGTTGCTCCATCGTCTTAAAACAGTGCGTGCAACTAACTATGATGGTCAAAACTATTATTATATTGTGTCATCTAATTTATCTTGACTTTCTCTTCCTTTCTATGCAGAGCATATAGCTAACAAACTGGCCTTTTATATGGCACTAATAAACTTTTTTTCCTTCTAAGAATATATTTCCCTTCAAATTTGTAAATCAACCCTTCAAGTGTGTTTTCTTTTCATTTCATCTCTTTTTTTTTTACTCTTATTTGTTTTATTTTAATTAATTTTTAAAATTTTTTTTTTTTTCAATTTCATCCTCCTTCAATATCTTAGTCTGTCAGATTTGGCTTTTGTTCTTTATTATTATTATTATTATTTGCTTATGGTAATTTTTTTAATGTAATTTTTTTTTTCAATTTCATTCTTTAATGTTAAATTGGTTGAGAATTGATCATCTTAATTGAACTCGGTATGTGATTTCATGGGTTGTGAATTGAATTATTAACCCAAATTTAGAAGATTTATTTGGACCAATTACTATAGATTAAAATAGTAAATATACCGTTTTGTCCTTCAAAAACTTTCACACTCACTCTTTTTTAATTATCGTGGATTAGCCATATATAAATTGATTGAGAATACTACTATCTATTTATTTATATTTTGCATAGTTAAATTACTAGAATACCTTTAAAAGCAAAACAACATTTAACTCGGGTATAGGGTATTTTTTTTAATAAAAAAGGTTTCACTCTTAAAGCTTGATTGTCAAGGCTTTTTCGTAATCTTAGAGGCAACTTTGTCTTTTAATTAATACCGATAACAATGAATTTTTTTTTTCATTTCATCCTTCAATATTGGATTGGTCGAACTTTATGATTGAAGCTCGAAATTTCAAGCATCCATTTTTTTATCATGTAATTAATTAATTTTTTAAAAAAATATAGCTATTAAACTTAGTTGAGTGAATGATTCGGGTGGGATGACCGAGGCCATTTAATATGTCATTATCTTAATACTTAAAAAAACATTGTAAAGTTCTTTTATAAACTAACTCATATTTTTATTAGTTATCTAATTTATTTTTGGATCTATGAAATCAATCGATTTATATTGAATTAATTCTGATATGATTTAATTGAAAATTCAAGTCAAATAAGAAATCAAATAAAAAAATTTAAAATTTATGTAATTGTCCAGATTTAATAATATTGTCTAAAAAATATCACATGCTTTTAATATTTTTGAAAAATTAAAAAAAAAATTAGTCCGGGGCTGTGGGGGGATCGCATGCCAATGAACTAAATGGACCTGAAGAAATATACACAACGGCATACCAAAGGCATTCCCTAGCATGAAAGCGCCATCTCAACTGCAACAATATTTTAGAGAATCACCTAATAAAAACAAAGGGCAAGTGCACAAGGTCCTTTTCATTGCTTCCATCAGGCCATTTCTTAGTCTGTGCTAAACATCTACTTCTTTGATGTCTAAATCACTGAAAAGGTGCTTCTTCTGATAGTAAATTCATTTCACACTGCCTCGTTGTGTACTTTTACAGCAAGTGATGTTATCTGTATTCTACTATATGATTGACATATGGAAGATTGATTTAGCAACTGAGTGGTAGATTACACTTGGCTGATTGAGTTGCTTAAACATCAGATTTCGAGACCCTTTTCGATCAAATCCCCACTACAATATTCAAAATGAAAAAAATTATGAGATTAATGAAGAGGGGAAATTTTATGTACTATTACCACTGGTTTCCTGCCTTTCTCAATGGTGAATATGAAGAGGGGAAATTTTATGTACTATTACCAGTGGTTTCCTGCCTCTCTGAATGGTGGATACTTAATTAATTTCAAAATCATCTGGCCCTGCATACTGGTGAAGAGGAAGACGAATACTTAAAACGCGAACATGTAAACTAATTAATGTTCCCGTCTGAACTCGGGGAGGTAAATGCCTAAATGGGTTCAAATCAACGGCACACTTGTAAAAGAAATTTTCTGTTCTTTAGGTTTGAATTTCGATTTCTTATTGTTATTATTTTATTGCTTATTAAATTATATGATTGTTATTTTATTTTGGTGTTATTATTGTGTAAGATGCCAACCTGGGGACAAATATAATACTCAAACCGAAAAACGAACAAGAGTTCCCATAGGTTGATGGGCGATGAAACATTGTCTCCTTGGTGCAATATCAAAAGCAAAAGTTAGATAGTCTTGGTGCAATATCTTGCAAGAATGTGTTCCCTGTATTTTTCAAAATTATTGTAGATTTTATTTTTATTTTATTTTTTATTATTGGACATAGGTTGTATTTGTTCATCTTCTCGTGGCTAGATTTTCAACTCCCAACCGGTGGCCTGGTAGGTTATAGGGATACACCGCCCAGTTTCTGGCCTCCAAGATTTCTGATCGTTGCAAGGATTGATTTGTTCTTTCTGTCATAAATATTGCCTGTCCTTTTTGACGAAGAAGGAGGTTTGGCACATCTACTTGCTGATGGTAAAAGGTAATATGATCAATGATAGAAACAAGGGAAGCTTGACAGACAACTCGGTTATAGAGCCAGAAAGTAGTCAGCAGCACAACTTCAGTTTTTATCAGAGGGGTGAAGGGGAGAAAGGTGTGATGGAGACGGAAGGAAGAGGGTTTACAGACCTGTATAGGAATTCAAGTGAAGAGTTGTTTCTCAAATCTTTGATGGAGACCTCAATTGGGATGCCAGTACCCACCATGGAGATGTTGGGGTTCAAGAATCTCTCTCAGAACTTTCGTACCGACAGTGAGGAACTATTCAAAAGCTGGCTTACAAATGGAGAGGTGAGAAAAAAAGAATTAATCTCGATTTCAGCATCCAAGTCTCAAGCTCATTATTTGCTTTTCTGCCTTTGCAGGATTGACTGATCATCTATACATGCCATGAGTTTTTTCTTTCTTTTTTTCTTGTTTCCAAAATCAAAACACAATCACAAGTAGTTGGTTGGCTTTAATTACATCTTCCTTGACAGAAAAATAAACAAAACATCACAATTTGTGCAGTGAAATGAACTTGGTAATGGTCTAATTCATTTGTCAATTAGTTGGTCAACTTTGATTATTGCCAGGCTTTCGATTCATGGATTGTCATCAAGTGATTGATAATCCGAAGAAGTGGCCATAGGAGTTATCAAACCAAAAAACATTAACGGCTCATCTGCTAGATTTGAACTTGGCTGTTTAAAATAAAGCATCTGCCTCGCGGTTTTATTCAGAAAGACCAGAATTTTTCACCAAGTTAAAAGGCTATATTACTCGTGCGGGTTTTGCAGTTCAGGAAATCACTCCTTTTTTTTTAATTTCTTTTTCCCAGAGGATGGGTTGGGTTTCTTTCTGACTGATGGACTTTTCTTTTTTTCAGAATGGCTATAACTCAACAAGCATGGCACATCGAACGCGACAAGCATCGAGAAGGTGAGTAGATCGAAGTAGTATATGTCGATAGAGAACGAATGAAACTGTGCCATTCTCCAAGTCCAGATTGCCCTCATTTTTTAGATTTTCTTGAAGGATTTTTCTGCGTTTTTTTTTTTTTTTTTGTATAATCTTAACGGTGCAGAAGTGCATGACTCATGCTTCTAGAGTTAAATGTAGCTACATTTCTGTGCTAGCATGATACGAGTTTTTTTGTCTTAGAGGGAACTATTACCAATTCATCCTTTACAGACTCGGGAATCATCCACTAGGTTCCAGCTGATTGAAATGCATGGCCCAAAATTCCCCTGCACAAGAAAAAATATCGTTCGATATGCAAGCTCTTCTAGGAGTCTGAAATTCAACCCTAATGTCCTTGGCTTGTATGGGAAAATTCATTTGCTGAGGGAATTAGCTATCCCATGTTTTAACATTAAGAAATCTAACAGAAATATGAGTACCCTTCCCTGTTGAACACTGATTTCTTTAAAGCTTCTATTTTGCAAACCTTCCTGGTCATGACATGGCCATCTTGAGATTGATACGGAATCATCAAGGTGAATCATATTGTACAGGAATGAAATATATAATCATAAGAGATAGATGAATTGCTACTCTGCTATGGGTTTTTTGTCTTCTCATTTTTTGGCTTTAGTAGGCTGCTCTGGAATGTCTTACCATCCAAGTGTTTGAAACTTCTATGATCAGGAAAATAGATAAATAAATCATTAAATTCTTCATGTGACATTGAGGTAATCTAACATTTTGAGGATTCTGGCAATTATGGATATATCTTTTGGTTCAGTTCTTTTCCCTTGTAGCTAAATATGCTTTGCAAATCCTTCCCAGTTGTTTGGCCTTTGATAGAGGACACCTATTTTGCCACCACTTCTTTGGGGAATTGCCCTCTCTGTCCTTCTTCCAGTTCCATAACTTACTCCAATGATAAACGCAGGATATCAAGTGAACTGGTCAATTTGACCAGCCAGCTACATGCGAGCACACCTCAGAAGAAAAGGAGCAATGATGTCCTATTCACGCAAAATAATCCAACAGCTGATGATATCTCCAATGATCTCAATGAACAGTCAATCAGGTAGCTTCTGCACCCTTCTTCCATAATGATCTTATTTGTACAACGTTACAAGATTTCCAGATTCGATCATCTATGAGCATGTCATATGATCCTAAAAAGTTATTAATGCGCCACCAAGAGAATAGTGATTCTGATTTATCATTTTTTTGTTACTACTTTTAGCAGGAACGCTGTTGAAAGGACCGTGCAGGCTAGTAATTTATATCTGGCTAAGGTCTAATAATTTTTTAAAATCTTCAGAAACTTCTGCTCGATTAAACCTCTACAATTCTGACAGTCTCTAATCTCTTACTCAGGCGTGGTTTCACAGTTCTCAACCCATGACAAGAAGTCGATCCTCTGAACTAAGGTACTAGCATTATTGCGCGCGCATGCATAATAATGATAACAATCACATCCTTCATAAGTTTTTGTTAGTGATACCTGGTATAATTATGGCTCCAAATTCTTCATCTAGTTGATTATCTTACATCTGGCAGAAGTCCGTGGAATGCATTCTTTAAGGCATAGAAATGCATTTACTCCAATAGTACAAAGAACAGTTGTTTCCTTTGCTTCATTATCCAACTTGTCTTGCAGGAGAAGGTATGCTGCTATGCAATATACTCAGACAAATATAGGTATGGAAGTTATGCAGAATGCTTCAGGGCATGGTGTCAACAATTTGAATCAAGAGTTTGGAAATCCAAATGGTTTCAGTGACCCTCCTGTGCATGACACTGCCAATCAGTTGGGCACGTTCATGTCTCCAACCAATTCATCCTCGTCTACTTTTAACACCCCACAAATGAGCAGCATAGATAAAGTTTCTTCTGTTGTTAACATGCTAAAGGGTACACTGGAACGCAAGAAGCTAGGTAACCAGATTGAGAAGGAAATAGTTGAAGATAGTTCTAACGCATTTTATCATGCTCAAGTTATAAACTCTACCTTTGATCAACGAAAAGGAAACGGCATTCATGAGATTCCTACTCGAAGTTTTCAAGAAATATCACCTGGTCAAGTCAAGGACCCTGAGTTCTTGCAGACAGTTCAAGGACCCATGGATCTTGACTTTGAAGGGTTTGTAAATGCCATAAATCCGGTTCAGCTGAGCACGGTTTCTCGGGAGCCTTCTCAAAGTGGATCTTCTGCCGCCACACCAGTAGTTTCATCTGCTTTTGATGCATGTGATGGCCCCAGCAACTCAAGTCAAACTCTAAGCATTTGTGAAACCTCAAGGAAACAAATTGGAAACGGTAGGAGTTCAGAAAATGGCTCTAGAGCCAAAGGTGTGCGGTTTAAAAAATGGCCTCTTTTTTTCTGTCTTGAAACTTGATTGATTTAGTTTCTAAGTTGTTCCTGCATCTTATATTTCAAATGCAGATTTTAGAGACCGAATAATTGACAATTTGAAGGATGATCGGAAGGTACTTTACATTCTTCTATGCAGAACAAAAGTATTCTGATTAAATATTTATTGCTTTACCTACTTCCTTTTTTCTATGGTAGAGGGGAGGTCTCGTCCGATATGGATCTGTGACATCAGCAGGTTCAGGTAATCAGTTCATCCTTAGAACTTCACCAGCATGACATTTGGCTTGCCTACAGCGGGCTTCACTAAAAGGAGGAGGAGTCAGCTGGAATGTGTCGCACTATTGGTTTTGATCTGTTCAAAACAAAAAGGAAATGAGTTCTTGAATTGAAAAACATAACGCTTTAATAATTCTTGCCATCATATATAAATCTGCAACTGCCACTTTTGCTCTTGTTATTCTCTTCATCAGGTATTCTTGTTGTGGTTTTAAGCAAACCCTAAAAACTATGCAGATGCTTTACTGCATTATTGTGTCGTTATGCGATCATATCACTCTATCTGACCATCCAAATTTATGCAGTGGACAAGGGGGACCCAACTAAGAAGCGGAGAGTGGAACGCTCACGAAAGTAAGTTGAACTTTAATCTCTCAGCTTTATTAACCCTGTTATTCAAACTTTCATTTCATTTTGCATGACCTACCTGCTTCAGGAACAGATTAATCTCTCATGATTAACATTATTTCTTGTTTAATATAAAGATACAAGCAATACAACTGGCTGAGAAAATGAAAACCAAAGGGCTAATCATCCTTTCCTTGAAGGATGTAGCATAAGGATAAATGGACGATCCAAACTGCATGCACCATAATTAGACCTCATGAGCGATACGAGGATGCTAGAAGCACGCAATTAGTGTTACAAAAAATGCAATATCTACAAGTGTTGGAGGATTGTTATTGCCTAGTAGCTTTGATTTACGTTGAATTCTTTGGTGATGTAGAATGGCAGAGGCAAAGGAAAGGAATATGACACCAGCAATTCCATCTGACATGCAATCAGTCCTTAAGCGGTGTGAAAATCTTGAGAAGGAAGTACGATCACTCAAGTTGAACTTGTCTTTCATGAATAGGTAGTGATCACTAGATTACTTCCAATTGGGCTGTCAATAAATGCATAGAGACTTGTTCAATTCTGTTTATTTTGCTGGACGTTTGGCTTCCAAGTTGTAGGTTTTCTATGCATTATGATCTAGAACTGCTTTGTTATTAATCAATTGTTTTCAAATACTCTTTCAGGAAGGATTCTGAACAGACTAAGCAGATAGAGGAGCTTCAGAAACAGAACGAAGATTTAACTGATGAAAAAGAACGTCTCTTAGAAGAAATTGAGAGGATTCTAGCTGAAACAGGAAAGATGTAAAAGTTACTTCCCCTTTCGGCTTTTACACATCTCATACAAGTGTACCTTGTAAGCACCAAGTCTTTTACAGAAGCAGCAGTAATTCTGAAAGACCCAATTTATTAATCTAAAGACAATCCTATCCAAGTCCTTAGTAAGCAGAACACCAAAGAAGTTACGCCTATTCTAGATTTTCCAGTTTAGGTGTTGTGACTTGTTTGCTGATCATATGTCCATGAATGTACCAAATGCATGGTAAAATTGGTAAATGCAGCTATGTCTGACAAACTGTGAACGCAATATCAATTTTAAAATTTTGGATGCAATGGACCAGCAGGGTGTAAAAAACAAGCTTCGTGGCTTTTATCAAGAGAGATGGCTGTAATCTGTGTCAAATAGTCAACGAGCTTCCGAAGTGCGTGGAAATTTTAAACCATCTCCATTCCTCTTATGTAAGAGATTGTTTGTCTCCCTTGAGGATATAACAGTATCAACATACTGAGGAAGTAATCGAAGTGTACACAATAATTTATTCTTGGATCTTTCCAAGCATAACGAAGGTAGTAGAGGTAGAAGCTGAAGCTGTCTTGCTCAGATCCCTTGCAGGGAGCAGAAAATACAGTAATGCTCACTTTTATCAACTATGTCCTTCAAAACAGGATGTGACAAAATCATACGTCAATGAGATTTTTTTTCATATAACATGATGACTATACACGAAGTCTATTTCTCAGCTACATACACAAGTTGCTCAGCATTTCTTCTAAAAAAATACATTTGGCACCCATGGAATCATTGGGCGACAAGTGTGTCAAATTGCAGCAATGCAGCATCCAGGTTCCGGGGAGAGAAAAAAGGAATTGGCACTTGTTAAAAGACTGCTTCTAGTAATTATCAACTCTGTAAATCTCAGGGAGACCAAACCTTTTCCCATACTGGATTGTCAACCAACCCATAAAAGAAAAGAACGCCACAAGAAAACAAGCTCGCTTGAAGAAAACCATATTGGCGCGAGAAAACATCCTAGCTACAGAAGTTAGACGGAGACATGATTTAATGTACTGTAGGATTTTTATAAAGCTGATGGTGATTATAGAAATTGAAAAACCAGTAATAACTCCGGCTATTGTTTCCCACCCCCAATAGCTAGCTTTTCTCTTCCAGAATGGGGAGGAGTGCAACATCTCTTTAGACCTGAATATGACCAACAATTCTATGTTAAATATTGGCAATGCCGCATCCAATGATTGCAAAAAGATGCTTATCATTTACATGATTTTCAGCTTTAACATTTTAATAAACATAGGAATAGTGCAGATTCAATCATACAAGGACTATACTTTCAACAACAATATGTGGAGAAATGACACATTGTATTTATCTTATTCAATGACAGATGACTAGATGAGTCACTCTAATGGGCGAACACCATAGCACTAAAAAGCCAAATTCACATTATCAAATGGCCAATCAATATTATCAGAAATACATGACCATAATCAACTCATATCTATCAAGATAGTCAAATCAAACTGGTCCACACGCTTCAGATAATCCCTAGGCCATCCATCATCTACTTTGGATATCTCAAATTCACCATCTATATTTGACGTGCAGGCATCAAATGCCATAGAAATACACACAACACAGATGAAGTAAATAAGATTGAGTGTTACTTTTTCATTTAAAAGTGAAAAAAAATGACTCACAGGATGAAATAACGTTTAATCATCTCAACTTGAGATGGATCTTTTGCTTGACAACTGAAAAGATCATCACGATATAAACTCACTTTCGAAAAGCCTGATGTATACCAGCAGTCATAGGTTTTATTAACCTGGAGAGGAATGAGTAGAAAAGAGTAAGATAGTGACAATGGTCTGAAGAAAATCTGACTTAAAATGCATTACCATTGAGTGAGGCTTGCAGCTTTGCAATCCCTACCTTGAATTTATCTTTGGCCAACCATGCAGCACCAAAATTAGGGCGGCAATTTAGAGGAAGGGCCTCATTTGGAGCCTCTGCCAAAGCAAATCGAGCCTGACCCAAGGAATAATCTTCGTATTCCACCTGCAAATGGAAAGTTGATAAAGAAATGATATTAAAAGACCCAGTTTTTACTCCAATGCCTCAAACCATTGCATTTTTAAAACCAGTCAGATACATACATAGTGTACGCAAAACTTGATAACATGGTGTAAAGAGAATTTGATGCGTGCATGCCTGAAGTTTGCAGAAATGCTACTTCCAAATCCTAACACAACCCAGCTATATATAATTCCTTGATGTTGGATTTGTTTGAAAACGCAAACATTGTCAAGAGTTCAGGGGTGGGGAATATGAAGAGCTCCAAGCATCAAACGTTACTAATGGCGGCTCTGCTCTTATACAGTTCGTAATGTTCATATGATAAATGTTGAAAGTGTTCTATTGGCTATTTGCACTAAAAACATAACATTAAGATATTGTCATCTGTACACCTACATTACAGCAAATTCAGAAATAGACCTCACAGATATATACTATAATGATAAAAAAAAATATCAAGTCTTCTAGAATTTCTTGATCAGAGACAAACACAAGTTTAAAAGCAGTTAATAGAGAAAAATTAACAGAATCTATATCACCCTCTCAGATATCCAATCTGTCTGTGTATCAGCTGCATGCGTTTTCAGAGATGTAGCAGGATTATAGATGTGTGTGTGTTAGAAACAGAGAAGAATTTATCACAAGTTATCTAGAGAAAGTTTCAATCAGATCACCATGGACAAGTAAAACAGGGAAGGGAATCCTCCTATCCCATAGAGAAAACCTACTGATAGCACATAAAAGACAGCTTTTACACAAGGGCATGCTGAGCCATTGTAAAAGCATGACCCTGGAATAACAGTCATACACAATAGCATGACTATAAAAATTACAGAGGCAATTAAATCTATTTGCCGCATGTTCCTTTGAAGAATGTGGGGGTAAAAATGACTGAATCTGAGATACAATGGGAAACAATGAGGAATCAGGGTTGCATCACATTAGGATTAAGGTGACACATAACCATCATGCCTTCCATTGCCCACTGGTTATATTCCTCTACCAATGAGTCAAAAGGCGGTTTTCTTCAAATACAGCTTCCACGGACCAAAACAAATGTGGTGTTTGTTCTTTAAACAAAAAGATAAGAACTCTAAAGTCGTATTTAACAAGGTTAAGAGATTCACATTAAAACAAAAGATTGATAGGCCCCACTGATACAAAGAAGATAATCTATCACAATGAAAGTTCCCTCATTTCATCCTTTGACGTCACCTTTATACATAGTGATGTGTCCAAATTTTACCCCTCCTGTTTTTGGAACATGGAGCGTTCTATTAAAAAACAAAGGAGCTATACAAGAACTTCCTCTTTTGCATTGAAAGGTTTGATGATTTAAGATACCCTATGTTAGAAAGAGGTCTTGGGCTCTATCAATTGAATACCAATTATAACCAATCTATAAAATTAATGCTATTTATCAGAATACAAACTTTTTGACAACTGAAAGTTGAAGACAGTCCTAGCTCCTAATGAGTAAGCCTACTGGAACTTCAGCATTATGAACAAGAACAGCAATGTTCATGACGATTCATACCCTTCTACATCCATAACCCAAGATACTTTTCAAGCTGAAATGTTCCATGTAATCCCATTCCAAGTCATGGTAAAGAACCATGCTCTCAGAAAATTCACATATTTTGAGAATGTATTGTTGGAATAACCACATTGTTCTTAGCTTACATAATGTTTAACTTCTAAGTTTCCTATTCAACTAATTTAAAGTTAAATATCTACTTTTGGCATCTCAAGTCCATCCTCCCTTTATTTTCCACTTCCACAACACATTATCTAGGAATAGTACTGACCTCAATTATCAGAAGAAATCATTTTAGCAGCATATACTCCTAATCTTTAGCACAATAGAAGTCATATAATACTTGCTAGAGAAAATGATAAAATCACCTCAAACACTGAAGCCCAGTAGTAATCATAGCGACAGCGCAATTTGCTTCTGTTATTTGGATAAAACACGTGCTTGGCTTTATAATTCAGCAACCCAAGCTCACAAATCTTAGATGATCTAAGATCCACGCCTGAAAAATAAAGAAACAAAAACAACCCACTTTACACAACTCATAAAAACAAAAAACAAATGAATAGATCAACAAAAACTCATTATCTAAAAAAAACATCAACAAAACAAAACAAAGATGAATTTAAGCTTAAAATCACAGGGGTAGCAGTAGGGAGAGGGAGAGACATACTACTGGAGAGTATCCTGCACTGAAATGGAAGAGAGGGGAAGGTTGTAATAGAAAAATGGCCCATGAGAATTGCTAAGAAACCTAATAATATTGACAAGAAAAGGAAGGCAAAGATTGGGAAAAGAAGAGCTGAGGTTAATCGAAAAGCTAGATACATGAAACCCTTTCTCCCATTTTCAGAGGTTTCTATTTCTAATTCCATCTCATCATCACTAACATCCATAACCACTGCCGCACTGTTAATTTTATTTGTGTGGAGGAAGAAGGTAGAAAATCCTTTTTTTAGAAGGAAAGTAGTGACTGTGGGCTCAACAGGGTACAATACAATCACTCTACTCGATCTATATCCATAGGGAAGTTTTTGTCAGGAAATTTATTTTTTTTGGGTCACTGTGGCCTCCACAGTACAGTCAACCGTTGATTTTTTGTTTGAGAATTAAAAAAGTGTTTGCCAAAAGAACATAAATTATTTTTTTTATTTTTTCAATTGAATATTCAAATTACTGGGATTTTGTCATGCTTCCACCACTGTTCACCTTGAGCAGAATGGTATTGAAAGGTTGAAACTTCCCGACGAGACCTGGTCCTCGGATCCTGAAGCTCTCTGAGTGGTTGCTGCTGATCATTCTCAAAGCCGTTTTTTTGTGTGTGCGGTACAGAAAACATCTCTGCTTTGCCTCTTTTTTATAATCACCCTAAACTTCCAGAGAATTTTATCTCTGATTTATCGCATGAAGTGTTGAAGTCTACGTGGATGGATACCAACCAATATTCTTCCATTGTTGATGATTTGTTGGTTCATACAATTCAGGATGCTTTTGCTATTTGGTCTTTCTCTTCCCGATTTTATTACCAAGTTTCGTCCCTGTGATTTCTTGCGTCTCCGTATACTAGTTAATTAATCTTCATTCGTGTGAGAGATCGATGAAAAGAGTTGTTTAGACATGGTATTTATATTATCTAAATCATTCATGTGAACGTAAAATTGATTAAACATTCTTTTTATCTTGTCATCATCAATGATTCTTCAA